GTATTCTGATTGCCAGCAATGAACCATTATACTTACAAATACAGAGGTGATGTCCTGAGTTAGATTTTCATTTATAAGCTAAGCAAATCAATTCAAAGAAGTATGAATGCTGGAAAATTACAATTTATGTTTTTTTTTTACACACCCATTAGTGATCTCAACATTGAAAGAGAGATCAACCACTGTATATTGCATTGATCATATGAAACTATTCTTGTGGAGGCAGTTATGTTGCCTACTGATTGAAGAGTTTAATTTTCTGTACTCCTGAACACCTTCAGAAATGGTTAAACAAATATCTAATAAAGATCTTTAATAACTCTATATTAGCTCACCTACTTCAAGCGAAGTATACAAAGGATATGCATAAGCTATTTCTATTATTTACCAGGTTCTAGTCAACTTTTGAAAAGGTACAAGGTTTTGAATCTTTAAAACTATAGAAGCCGTAAAAATTTCGATGAGTTGTATGTTCAAAAGAGAAAAGGGTTTTATCATCATGCTTTGGGATTAAAAAACTTCTAAGCTTCTTACTACATAGAACTCAATTCTCAACTTTGACATTGTACATATCCACACATTTCGATGATATGAAAATTTTTTATCACATTCGTTTAGTGTGTTTCATTGACCTTTTATTTGTGCCATTTTATTTAAAGTAGGTTTCCTCAAGTTACTTTTGTATTCATCTTGGTAACTCACAGGAGAATCTAGGCTGCACATTTCACCTCGTCTGGGGTTCATCAGCCAAACGTGCCTGTACTTTAGTAAGTTATATTGTTCCCACTGAGACTTGAACCCAGTACCCATCGCTTCAAATGTTACCCACTACACCAGTGGGGCATGGAAGTGTAATAGATAATGCTTACAGGTTTAAAGTAATTGGTGGTAGGATTCGAGTTTCACTGGTAAATTTGTTGAGAAGAATATTCTTTGTGTATCAAAATGTTCATTGGATCATTTAAACATTAAAAATGTAAAAAAAAAGAACTCAAACTGTTAGCAATGATAACGTTTCACTTCTCTATTCTTTTTGTTATTCAGCATGCCGTTACATCAATTGAGTAAAAACTAGTTTCAATTTTTTTTCGATTTTATTTAATTTCGATACTAGAGGGAATCGCAGTCTACAGTGATACTTTTTTTACTGTACTGTCCTAAATTTTTAATAGACATTTTGAAATGATGAAAAAGAATATTGATAAATATTTGTGTAGTAAAGAAAAGCAACTTTCTATTCATTTTATTAGTCGAAAAAAGATAATTCAGAGAAGAAAGACATTAGATACATCAACTAATCTTTTGAAGCTAGACAAAAACTTAAATTTCTACATTTTTCAAATACTCTTTCCTTAGCTTCCAGAGCAAATGATGCAATAGCTAAAGAAGATAAACCAAATATCGATTGCAACAGTTGTAATCAACAGTGCGTTGGAAAAAGTGGTCACCCTGTTCACTTTCATTCAAATGAAGACCAACTGGCTAGTAAACGTCACTACAATTCATTGTTCATTCCAATGCATGTGGATAACTGTGAAGATGAATTCAATTTTGAGCAGAGGAACGGTAACGCATATCAGAGAATTCCTAGAAGCTTGGGATTCAGGTAAGTCAGTAACCAATAGATAGACAGATACAAACCGAATCTAGCAGCCGGTAGAAAAGGTGATAAATAATAGTAAGGTCAGAGGTCAGGGAGAGAAATGGTTGATAAGAAAACTTATCCAGTCAATGACACAACCAAAAGTCATCCACTTGAGCAACAAATATTCTCCATTATTACTGATAGACCTCTTTTTTGTTGTTATGTACCTAATGAAATTTGACAGTGGATTTCATGCAATCCAGTGGGCTTATATTACCTCTTGATAAAACTAAGAAGAATGTTTTTACTGTTTTAGCGAATATCGCTTTGATGTATATGAATAACAGCCGAGCTGATCAGAATAACGTCAGCGTTTATCTCTAGTATTGTGATTGGATGACATACAAACTGGGAAAAGTATTTCACATTATGATAAAACTGTAAAATAAGAAATGTAAGCTTACTACAGTTTCATGACACCTGTGGTAGCAAGCACCCTCACATTAGTTAAAGTCTGGAAATGGGATCTTTATAAAATACTGTCTTCATATGAGATAAATTTCAAACAATTCACCAAAATTTTATCAGGTAGAAATTAACACCACTGACAGACAAGGAAGGGTATATATTGGAGAATAGACAAACAGGAATGGCAGAGACCTAAATAAGCGCTCAGCAGAAACAGCAGAAATACGAATTCAATAAGAGATAAAAATAGGTTATATCCGTGTGCCTACTCTTATTTTGAAGAGTAGTATATATATATATAATGAACAAAAATAAAGCTAACATGTAAAATGAAGATGAAAAGGATGACTAGGCAAAGAAATGAATGAAAAATATACGATAAAATAAGATAAAAAAAGATGAATTTTCTTAATGATTCCGTTAGCATACATTATTATTATAAATATATTTCTCAAAAACGTATTTTATATTGGGCAAGAAACAAGGAAAGCAAAAAATTGATACGTATGTATATATATATATGAGATACATTGTATATCTCTATCCAAATTCCTTAGAAGTTAGCTTGACCTATACAGTTTGTTGATAAAAGTAATTATGTATTTCAGGAACAGGATAAGAAAAAAAGGGGACTGAAGGAGAGATACACAATTAAATGATTAGCATATCCATCACTATCCTACACATGAGCTACTTGATTAATGTTGATTTGACCTGTTTGATTAAGAAGTTCTTTTGTTCTTAATAGTTCATTATCACCATGATGTTGTTGCCAATTAGATTCAGTTTCATTATCAATCCATTCATAGCGATCAGATTTAGATGAATCAATTAATTGTAGAGTTTTTAAAGTTTCATTTTGTTCCTGATTAACTGACTGTTTTACTATTGAATTTTTAATATAGTTAGGATTTGTTAATGATCCCATAATCCAATATTTATTATGAATTTCATTTACACCGGTTAATTCATCATCGTATTCATAATTTTCATCATCAAATTCTTCAAGATCAGCTAATCGTGGAGTTTGTATTGGTGATACTGAATTACTCAGCTTATCACAAGGTATATTATTATTATTATTATTATTATTATTATTATTACTATTAAATGGATTTGTTCTTTGCACTGTCATCGGTGGTGAATAAATACACTGATTTCGTGTAGGCGTTGAATGGTTTGGGAATTCCATACTTCTAATTACATTACTCTTCATACCCATAAACTAATAAAAATGATGCAGAGCATACAAAAAGGCAATGAAGCTGGTTTATAGTTACCGATTATTTTTAATATAACTGGAATGATACCTAAAATTGTATTTTGATGAGATTAAGTGATACAATTAGCATTATATTCCTCAAACTGGTCATGATATCCGTTTGTTTTAAGGCAAAAATCTACTGAATGAAATCTGAATAATTGTGGTTATCTGGATGGTGTAAAGTACTAGTGTTATGGCTTGTATTACACAGCTGTTGATTGGACCGCAAGCAAGCAATAACACTAAAACTACACGTGTCGCTCGGTGTTGTAGTGGATAACGCTTTCGCGTTTGGAGCGATCGCTCACGAGTCCGAATCCTTGTGGGAACAGCATCACTCACTGAGGTGCAGGTACATCCGGCTGACGAATCCCAAATAGGACGAAATGCGCATCCTGGATTCCACTGTTAGCTACTGCCTATCATTACTATACATAGTTAAAAGACAGGCAATATCGAGGCATCCGCACAGGAGCCCATATGCCAACAGAGACTGATCAATTCGGTCCAATCAACGACGGTGTTATACAAGCAACAACACTAAAACGATACCCGTCCCACAAGAAGTGGCTATCGTGGCTCATCCTGACGTTTGTAGCAATCGTTCCGGAGTCCGAATCTCGGTGGGAACAATATCACTCACTGGGAGGCAGGTATATCCAGCTGGTGTAAAGTATATTCTCTTTTTATCCAGTAGAAAATCACTCATGAGAATTGCGTTGAATGATAAAGTGAATAAGAAATTTTGATAACTTTATACAGTCACTTTATTTTCTAAGTTATAACGTTTCCCACGGTGATTAATAATTACATAGTTTCTTAGTTGTCAAGAAAGAAGAGATGAAGGATTTTAAGTATAAGGCAGCTGATATCTTTTCAAGTGATTCAGCAATCTTATTCAAGTGTTATTTGATTACACAATACTATTAAAAAAGCTGGTAGAAGTAAACTTTAGTGACAGGGAACCTTGAAGATAACCAGTCAGGTTGGGAATGATTTATTCAAGCCATTATTTACGTCCATTTACTATGTTATTGAAGTTGCATAAACTTTTAATGAACTATAACAAAGATTACTTTGCATAGTGTACTGCGCTGCAGTTCGCTCTATTCTACTATATAGCTGTGAAACATGAGTAGAAGACATAAGAAGGCCTCAAGTGTTTCATCACCGTTGTTTTCTTAGGATAGGTCATATTTCGTGGTTTCATCACATGAGCAATACAGAAGTCAGGCGTAGAGTTTTAGGCAGGAGAGGTAAATCAGTTGATGTAGTTGTGAACCTTCATCGATTGAGATGGCTGGCTGGGACATGTGTTACGTATACCTAATCAACATCTGCCTCGTCATAAAATGTTTACCAGAGTAGGTTCAGGCTAGAAGAAGTCTTGTGGCGATCAAACTAAAACATGGGATTAATACATGAAGTCTAGAGTTGTTCGTTTCAGCCAAGTAGGGAAATACAGACTAGCCAGTTTGGGTCTGAGCGATAAGATAAACCAGTGTTGGGAGACTCTAGTTGGTATAGCCAAGAACCGATGTCATTGGCGCAGACGCATACACATATCCTCCTGATACTAACCGCTATACTTAATCTCCTCATCTCTTCATTCTTTCTTTTACTACTTTCTGCTTCTATTTCCTTTGGTCAACTTTTCTTTCCATCTTCATCTTCCATTTTATTGCCTTGTTAGTTGATGTACTGATATGAGATGAGGTGTCGTAACTTGGACTGTTACGCAGTAATGCATGATCCTATGATGGTCTTGATGATGAAGTTATAACTTACCCAATGCATATTTACATACATTTGACTTAGTAAACAACAGATTCTTGGTATACACAATCGAAATACGAAGAAAGTACATTTTCAGCGGATATAAGATAGATCCAAAAAATCTATTCTAACAGTTTTGGAGAAATACCTGGTACTAGATATCATAGTATACACCGACATTAGGAAGTTATATACGCCTTTATCTGAAATAGGTTACCGTCATTCAGCTATTGCTTACAAAATGCACTTCGTTGACCAAACAGCTGAAGTGTACACAAACAACTTTGAAGATAACTAGAACATGATGGGAAATTTCCGTAATATCGTTTAAATGATATTGTCTAATATGGATTAGCAGCAATGCATATAACGGTACAGTCTTCAAAATGATAAACCTATTTATTTCTTAGGTAAAAGAGATTAGTAAAATTACCACTTCTTAAAATAACTACTGTATTCTTCATATTCTTGGTTCTGATTGGTCAGTGCATGCTTGAACATGAGTCGCCGTCACCAAAAAATTAGTTCAACTTAAGCCTTCTAAAAAAATGAATCTGGTAATACCATACCTCTTTTTCTTCGACCCACTGTAGTAAGAAAGTGTTAGCTTCTAAGTTGACACTTCCTTTCTAGTTCAAAAATCACATATTCACTAGGTGATAATGCTCCTAGAAATAAGTGAAATCCAGTCACAAGCTGGTGACGTCGATAAGCGCAGAGGGGTTCGAACTAAGGACCCACTGGTCGAAAGTCAATTAACTAGACCAGTAAGAGAAAACATTTAGAAAGGGACTATCGTGAATAATATTTATACAGCAGCATGACAAGAACACTAACTGCATGTGTCAAGTATATTCTTCATTTAATTCGCTGACAACCGGTCATGTACTGGAATCTGGCCGCGGTCCAAATTTTCATTTCATCTTCAATCATTATCCACTATAAACACTAGTCTGCCAAACTACGGCTACCTCAGATGGTAGTCAAAATGATAATCAATATGATGCTTTCTCTATCTAATTCAGTTATTTTTGGATTGGACTGAGAAGTCCTGACTAGGCACCCAGTGTAGGTACGACCAAGAGGTAGTAAGGCATCACTAATTCACACAGTAGTTGGGAAAAATCCTTGGCGATTGAAGTAAAATAAAAATCTGGTTAGCAGTCGGACGTCAGGATCGGGCCAGAAACTCAGTGGTCACTGGTTCAAATTCGGCGGCGGTTCAAATGTTTAATTTCACCTTTAATCACCACCCAGTACAAATTTGATAAATTTATTCAAATAATTTTCTCTCATTTATACATTTCGCTTGTATGAAAATGAATTGGCAAGCTACTTTACAACTTATTCATTGGTAGCATTAATAATGTAAGCAATTCATCAAGTTGAGACTGAATCACACCTAACGTGAAAGGGATAATCCTACCTGGTCGCTTAAACTGTATTATTTCGGATCGATAAGAACTAGGAACCAAGTGGACTAGAGTTAAGTAAATAAAAATTTTTGTTAACTCAATACTAGACATTAATTATCTTCTAGTATTTATTTCAGCTCTGTAGAATATTAGTCAGTGACCGAAAATATTACAAATTCATATTAAAGAATACATCTTACAACCGTGGATGACAACAGGATGATCAATTTGCAAATGATTTGCAAAGTTGAAAGCCCTGGCACCAGAGAGTCATAAACTAACGAAATATACTACTACTGAACAACTCGAGTAGTTAGAAACTGGCTGGCAGCTAAAATCTACAGATCAGTCAGACTGCTTTTTGACTACTCAAATTGTTTACCAGTAGTATAAATACAACGCCAATCTCTTTAGATAGAAAAGGCTAATGAATATTGTTTGTAAAAGAAGGTCTTTATTAGGTAAAAATGTAAGTTATAGTGTATGTATACTGTAGTGATTAAATAAACTAACCTGTAGATCATTTACAGGATTAGCAGTAAGTCTAAGTGTTGGATCTGTTTTCAAATTAGAACCACCAAAATCAGCTGGTTGTGATGCAAATCTTCTACGACGTGTTGACTTTATAGTATGTCGTGGTTGATTTTTACGTATATACCAGACAGCTATACCAACTATTAACCATAGTATCAGTGCAGAAATAGACAAACCGACAATCAAAGCTGTATAATTATACTCGAACTGTGCATGTATAAATTAAAGAAGGGGTAAGAAATGTAAATCTTATTAGTTTTTTTCAATAAAATGATATAGATTATTGATTAAAATTCAATATAAGTATTATTTAACACTTTTAGACATTTTTCATGCTGATAATTTCCGAAAATGAATGTTAAATAATCATAGTACAAATAGATTAATTAGTTATCACAAACATGATATCATTAATTCATTTCATAAGTACTCATCAGCTGCATACAATTCAACAATGGAATGGTTATTAAGACATAAAATAATTTAAAATGAAATGATCACTAATTTTATGAGAATCACTGATAACCTATTTAATTTGTAATGGAATTCATTGTAAAATCATAGTCATCAAGAGAATGAGATATCAGTCATACTCTTCCTTCTGTATATAGAAGTCTAGTCGAAAGTATATGATAAAAATTGCTTCTATAAAGTGTAGTAATCCAGATATTTCTTACACATTTATTATTTTAAAAGACGTCAAGATTTTAATCTATTATCTTGTATCTATGAATAAATAGTCTAGCAATTGCATTGATTAAAATCTTACTTCTTTTTAGACATAAATTCTACCATATATCCCCTCAGTGAACCTGAATGAATGCCCCTCTGTCAGTTTTTCCACTTAATAAATTTACTTCAAAATAACATAATCAAGGTGATTATCTAGTCTGAACTGGTTCAATGAACATATAGTATCGTATACTGATGCAGGAAACCTACTTCTTAGAGTTGCTTTGATTCTTGTGTCTATTCTCTTGAAAATTACAACTCTGTTGAATGTAAGGTCAATAAAAAACTTTTTTTTTCATGATTTTTAAGTTCGCATATATTCAGTATAATGTCAACGAGCCTTAGTGATCAAATTACAGACTTGACTAATGGACTTCGATGAGTGGTCAACGTACCAAGAACCAAATTGATTTCGCTTTTAACTTATATAGCTTACTAACAAGTTTTAAGACTTTAGAATTGTATGTGAAAGGTTTTATTATTCAACAAGATTTGAATTCCATTTTAATTGATTTATCAGATGTATTACACAATTTATTGTTCATAGTCATATCAAGATTACTTCACAAATGTGAGATATAAGTTATATGCTTCTAATTCTTTCGTCTCCTATGTGATATGAATAGTAGGATTCCCCATATATCCCGAACAGGCAATGACTCATTCCTCTCGCATATGTTTCGTTTTCATTTAATAAACGAAGATTCACTCATCAATCTTTACCTTCATCTCATTTGGTCATTTTTTTAGGGATTTTCAACTTGTCTCATCCACTTGTGTGGTTGTGTGCAGTTGGATGAATAGCTATGACCGAGCTACTTTCTTAATTCATCAACTACCTAGGATCTACCAATTCTCATCTAGACAGGTTTCTGTGCTCCGATGGTCTGAATGGCCTTGGTCAACTACTTTGACATATTTATTTGACCTCACAATCATTGCTAGGCATTCGGTGAACTAAATTATTCTACCTCATTAGATAAATAGAATCGTCTAACCAACAAAGCTTGCTTCCAAGTCAATATATAACTGCAAATACCACTCTAATCTCAACCAGCCTTATTGAGAATCCTACTTGGTGTCTGTGATGTGCCTTTCTTGTATGGTGGTGGTAATACTGTGATGGTTTTGAATGTCATCTTCACAGTATTGGTACTATCATTAATGACATTATTATCACTATTATTTACACCTGTGTTACTAATATTAGTCATATTTTGCCTAGGATTACAGAGAGATTTATTGGTTAATTAAGGAGGGAAAAATTTTTGATGAGTAAAATGCCTTTAAGTTGTCTAATTCTTCGGTTTGTATCTTCTGTTTTACGCGTATCTTCGCACTGATAATTCAGCACTTTACTGTATTACTATTATCATTTCGTTTCTTATGTGTTCGCATGAATTTCTTAGTCAACGATAGAGAGCGATTATTAATTATTGACCCTTCTTTTATGTGTTTCAATTCCTTGTTCAGGTCCTCACATCGACTAGACAGTTTTTTAGGTCCATCATTTAGACACTTGACTGAAGCTGCCTTACCTGACATCGGATGAGATGACTTGAGGTCTACATACCTGTTGGAATGTGTCGGTTGCCTGTAGACGGTACTATCAAAACCATAGTCTATCCTTCGTTTCATCCTGCAATCCAATATAGATAATTCTCCTTGTTCATTCTCTACTTGGTAAGTGAATTGGATTGTTTCGACTAGTGAGTTTGTGTGTGAGGAAATTGTCAGTATATTCCGTTTTGTCGACAACACGAGCAGCGGTAAGTTCAAAGCCTTTGTTATGTTACCATAGAAAGAAAGAACATCAGAAACTTTAAGCGAGATTCTCAGCTAGGCTGGAATTAGGGTGGCATTTACTACTGTCTAGTCGATGTGAGGACCTGGACAAGGAATTGAAACGCATACAAGAAGCGCTAATAGTTAATAATTATCCTCCTCAATTTATAAAGAAATTCACACGAATACACAAAAAAGGAGATAATAACAGTAACAGGAATAGAAAGGAGTTCACTGTCTCCATTGTGTTACCCTATAAGGAGGGTACATCAAAAGGTTTACGTAGGATCCTCAACAAAGCTTGAATTGGGGTGGCATTTAAACCCACAAACGGACTCAGAAATAAGCTTTGTTGGCTTAATGTTCAATAGATCCAATTTAGCAAGTAATCTAATCTACCGAATCTCATTCAATGACTGTGAGATCAAGAACATAGATCAAACTAGGCGGTCGAGGTCAGTAAGACTGGAGGAAAATAGGGATTTAACTAAATATATAATGATAGATTTGAATAAAACCAATAATCTAGAAAAAAACCCGGTTAAAGCAATTCATGGATTAACACACAATCACAAACCACTGTACTTAAGTCCAATATAATTAGGTAGATAGAGAGATTGATTACTGAATCCTTGTTCATCGAATTAACGAACACTCAACATATGTAATAGGCATGATACAACACCTAGACCAGAGATGTATGAAAAATTTAACTACCAATCAAAATAAAGAATATCCGGTGATAGGACTATAAAAATCAGATATCGAAAGTTGTATGATTAGATTGATATGGTTACGAGCGATGATAATTTATGCTGGAAACGTTATTCAGTAAATAATACTGTATCACACTGTGTGTTATGTATCAATTAAACAAATGCAATATGAAATTGAATTCTACTATAGTGCCCAAGTTTTAAAGTTACATCAGAATTCTTCTTCGAACTTTCAATAGCTCAAGAGAAATCAGATGTAAGATGTATGATTTAGTTGACGATCTATCATTATTCACCTAATATTTGATGATGATCACGCAATACTAGGAAAAACACTGATGTTTTCCTAAAGTATAAACTTGTTCTACAGAAGATCTAGATGATTTTGTTGTTTGACACTTGAAATGTCCCTTTGCTATACAAGATCAGATTGCTCGACCTCTGTTGGCAGATGGGTTCCTATGCGGATGCCTCGATACTGTCGGATATTCATGATGTTGTATTCATCTTAGTGACTCATATTGGAATCCAGGATGCACATTTCATCCTATTTCGAAATTACGTTCATCAATAAATAACAACTGAAACCCGTTGTACAAGTAATGGCTGTCGTGCCTGATGGATAATGGTTTGTCGTTTGAAGTGATAGATACTTGGTTCGAGTCTGAGTGGGAACAGTATCACTCACTGACGTATGAATACATCCAGCTGGTGAACCCTAAGTATTACTGTATTACTTCCTAGTGGTTACTTTATAAGGTCTCGCTGAAAACCTTTCCAATACACATACATTGAGTCACTCTTATTTCTAGTTAAGGGGCTTCCTGAAAGTCAAGATAAGGCAAACAACTCCATTTATGGTTATTCGTGTCATGCTATTGCACAACTTTGTGTCTTCATGACTCATTGAATTTGACTAGAAAATTCTGTATGATGTTACACTTTTATTTCTTGCACATAAAGTAATTTTCATTATGGATTGACATCAGTTAGTGAATGAATAAAAAACCAGAAGAACTGGACAACTGTTTTGTCTTCGTTTACGACTCATCAGAAGTGCACACCCACTTTGTCAGAGGCAAAAACTAAGATAGTATGGTATCCTAGTAACTCAGTTGTTATTCAACTACTAGTTTGAAATTTAATTGGCCACGTTTTACCCGCTACATTTTATTTGATGTACAGCTTGACCATCTAACAATAACCTCAATGAATGATGAGAATTACATTACATATATGTTTCATTTACAGTGAAAGAATGTGAGTCAAATTTATGAATAGTAAATTAGACTAATCAGGTAGACGGATAGGTTATAATATGGCCTCGTTACTTAATCCTACTTAAACTTTCAACAAATATTTATCTTTACAATACAAAATTTACATTACTTTCATTTTGGCTAACATGAAGACAACTAAATATTCCCTTATAGACTGATATCAATTGAAATACTACCATAAAACTGAGATCTTCATAAGTTTTGAACTACATTACTTTATATTGCTCATTAGTGACATATGGGATAGATATTTTGAAGTTAACCAGTAGAAATTGAAGTGGACACCTTAGTGGATAGTCACGCTATATCGTGAACTATATAAAGTAGGAAACTGTGAACCTTTAAACCTCAACTCATTGAATGAATGTTTAACATGTTTATCATGAGACCTGAAGGTCACAAGTTTGATCGTTGGTAAGGGATCGTAGGTGCTTACTGCTGAGGAAACTCAAGTCTAAACGAAACAGTTGTCCAGTGCTCCTAGTTTTTTTTAGTGGTTCTTCAACTGGCGTCAACCCATGAGGAATATACCAGTTAACTTACTAAGTATTATTCTCTACGCATATGACCAGTCGGTTCATCAATTAAGAGATGTGACAACTTTTAGGCAAGTGACATGATATCACTGTAAATAAATGCTGTCATTCAACTAACATTCAACTTCACTGATTTATATTGTTAACTTAGCTTCAGATTTATGTAGATTATATTGTTCAAAAGTTAGTCCCCTTCCAGTTCACCATGTATTCTCTTACTTACATATGTTAAACTATATGAGCCTGTAGTCAAAAGTCATAGTTATCTTCATCAAACGTTTACGTATGTTTTACTTATGAGTTCTAATGAGCGTAAAATATCCACCTGAAGGTAGCTATCAATCACTTCCCAACATATATATTCAACAAAAGTTCTATGATAAGACCATAAAAATGTCGCCTATGAACAACAAAAAGCAACAGTGGACTTTTGAAGTGGTGGTGAATACTTCTAGATAAGGTGGATGATCAGCTAGGTGATTTAATCATGACGCATTCATTATCTTTCTAAACAGTACCATCAGCGTTAACTTCAAACAAGAGTAATTTCTATATATTTAGATATATATTAACTGCGACATATACTATAATGACTTTCATGTGTCAATCAGTTAGTCACCTAGTACTGTCTGGTAACTTTGTTCGAAGATCATGGTTTCTTGATAATGAAAAAAAAGGCACATAAATAATAGACAAAACAAATTTAATAATCTTGCCTTTTTATCTGTAGTCTCGGGCTGTTGATATTCAGTTGGATTAACAAGGTGTAGCTTATTCAACGATCTATCCCCCGAGTCTCTACGTTCTTGATCAGATAGAACATAGTGAACTGCATCCACATTTGGATGAGATGATGAAGTTTGATTTGAAATGAAAGCTCCCATTTGATTAACAAGTGATTCCGTTTTTGCTTCTTTGCTTTGAATAACAATCTGAATAGAAAAAAGGATGTAGATAAGGTTAACCAGAACTGCCTTAATGTTATTGCTTGTGTTATCCCGTCGTTGATTAAACCGAATTGATCGGTCTCTATTGACCTATGGGTTCCTGCACAGATGCCTTGGTGTTGCCTGTGTTTTAATTATACATTAATGATGAGTGGTGCCTAGTAGTGGAATCCAGGAAGCATGTTTCGTCATATTTGGGACTCGTCAGCTGGGTGTACAGTGGGAACAACATCACTCACTGGGAGGCAGGTACATCCAGCTGACGAGCCCTATATGAAACGAAATGCACGTCAAGCTGGATTCCACCACCAGCCATTATCCATTATTAATGCAAAACTGCTTCAGCTTCTTGTTTGACAAAAACAGTAGTGAACCAAAAAGTTTGCAGCAGTGTTAGTTGGTTGAACGTAGTTGGCAGGAAACCCTTGTTCTCCTAGATTTCATACTTGTTGGCACGCACCTGTCAGTAAGGCGTATCTGCGACTTCAAGGGAACTGATTTCCCCCTCTAAGATTTGAACCCACTTCATCCAGTGTTGGAAATTTGACCTTTTTAAAGTCATTCTGTCATTTTTAGTAGCTTTACTTGTTATTATCGATTAACAACGTAATTCAACTTCACCCTATTTTCCCACAAAGTGAAGTTTAGAGTTCAATAAGTAATGCAGTTTACCTGGAAATTCGTCTTGAGGCAAATATTCTTTTTCTGTTAAACTGATGTTCAGATGAAGCTTATTTATAGTTGTGAAACTTCGAATATATGGCTTGCATAGTTACTTCCCCTCTGAACGATGTTCGCAGAATATCATATTTTTCTGCTTACTTCTTCAATACTTTCTAAATAACCTCGTTGTTGAAAAATTTTTATCACCAGTCGATTCAATTACTCGGTTGGTGACACAAAACAAGTGGCTTTATGACAGTGGAAATAAACCTTAACTCAATATATTACAGAAAAACTGTTGCACTAATTTTCATGTGACCAAAGTTATTTGATTAAAGTCAGTTCTCATAGGAAATTATCTAATAGATGATTATATTTTTAAAGCATTAAGCTCAGAGTAATTGAGAAACATGCACAGATTTTTACTAGTTTTCAAAGCAATTTAATTTGATAAACATTTATCGAATGTAGGATGGATAGTGCGGAATAATTTCCCCTAATTATCATGAAGATCATTGTCAGAGCGGAAAGAACATTTATTGTTACGATTTTATTGGACATTTGATGACCTTGAAATGACCCAAAGTAGGCTGTTTATTATCTGAAGGTCGCATTATAGTTACTCTACTTTTGTCAGGTCTTCACACATAAGCCTTTATTTTATTTCATATCCTTTTCGCGAATTTGGATATAACTATGAAATACACGCAAGGTCATTTGGAGCGACTTTCAAGGTCACGCTGGTAACTTCCAAAAATAATCAATCACGTTTCAGTATTCCAAACTAAAAGGTATCTTTTCATAAAATAGAGAAACGTAATAGATTATCTCAACAGTTACTAGGGTGACCTTTTGAGTTACTCGTCTGTTGAGTTTTTAGATATTTGCAATTAAATCAGTGAGTGTTAAGAGGATCCATTTCGACCAACTTGTCTAGCATGAAGTTAAGTAGATATCAAGCAGGAAATATTTCTGCCCGTGATAAAACATGGTAGGGTTACAGCATACAACTGTATTCAGATCATGGGGAGAATAAAATTCTAGATGGGGAAAGTACACCAGTTTGAATAAGTAGTCTGTTACTCAGCGTGTCTGAAAAATGCATTATTGATTGCTAGAAAGATCTTGTGTCTCAGTTTAACTGAAAAATTGTAATTCAGTTTTGAGGTTTCTGAGGATTGACCGATATCAAGATAATATTCATCACTGGCTGACAACAGCTGGTGAAGAACTATTAACTTTCGAAAACTGGACAGCTATCTCGTCCTATTACGGGGCTCCTCAGCAGTGCACAGCCATGAATACACTATAAGTTGAACCGAAGATTGTTAAGTCTGACGGCGACCACGTTATATTCACCCACTGCATCAGAATCCAGTGATTGACATTTTTCTGCCTCTGCCAATTTATGATATAGTGAGACTACTAGATTCTCCCCAGCGGCTTACTGGCAACGTGTTCGTCATGAAACCTGAAGGCCCTGAGTTCGACACCTGATGTGGTCATCTGCGCGTACTTCTTAGGGGTCTCAAAATAGTACGAAAAAGCTGTCTGACGCTCCAGAGTTTTTAATGTTTCTCCGGTTGATGTCAGTCCATGATGAATAGTATCTTTGAGACGATGGAGAATTTTCACAACTCAGGAGGATGATTTTCAAGGTATTGTGTTCTATGAGCTGTATGGTTTAATCATGAAGCTCACATTGTCACTCTAGACAACATCGTGGGTCCAAACTTCAGGAAGAAGTGAGCTATGGAGTAGTAGCTTGTTCTGATGGCTCTGTGGTTGGTTAGTTGTTTCTGTCAAAGCCTTATCGTTGTCTCCATACTTATTTATGTTGGGATTGGATGGGAACTTGGTATTCAGGTAAGTCAGTGATCGACAGACATACTGTCACTGACCCAATCTACCAACCGATAAGAAGCAACAACAAGGTCAAAGTTCCCTTCACCAGGAGAACCAGTCGAAATAAATATGGAGACAATGTCAAGACTTTGGCAGAAATAACTGATGATACACAAAGCCAACAGAACAAGCTACTAAGTCACATGTACAGAAAACTCCATAGTTCAGTTCCTTCTAAAGTTTGTCCTGATGATGTTGTCTAGGATGACAAAGAAGACTTCAGCTCACAGAACACAACACCATCAAATTCTGATTACTTAACATGATAGTAACATATAAATAGCCTGGAAAAGTCTTTCAAATAAAGTCTAGCACAATTGGCTTTGATAAGTAAACAAAAGAGAGGTGGTATTTATGATCATCAGTGATTATTAAGACAATTGGTTTAATATCTAAACGTTAGTGGATGAAAATGCAAACACAAATAATCACTAGTTATTGGGTTAAGTGATTTCAACTGAGAAATTTACAGATGATACCCGAAAACATCACCTTAACTTATTAGAAAATAATAATAGTACATTTTTGGACAACAGTAATTATTTCAAGTTGTTATTCATCGTAGACTGACATCAGTTGAAAGAACAGTGGAAACCTGGGAGCACTGGACAGCTGTTTCGTCCCACTAGTATGGGACTCCTCAGCAGTGCGTACCCGCGACCTTCAGGTTCCGTGGCCAGCACCTTACCATTGAGCCACTGGGTCAGAACCCAATGGTCCATATGTCCAACTTCTGTTAGCTCACGATATAGCGCAACCGCCACCCGATGTCATTGGCTCAATGGTAACGTGCTGGCCACGGAACCTGAAGGTCACGGGTTCGATCCTTGGCTGGGTTGTGGGTACACACTGCCCAGGACGAAACAGCTGTCCAGTTCCCCCAGATTTCTCCTGTTCCTCCAAAGGACATCAGTCTACGATGAATAACAACTTGAAATATTTCCAGATCCCCACAACTCCCTCAAAATTCAACAGTAATTATTCTGTTCAACATTTATAATATTAAGGATAATAATAGTACCAATAAACTTTCTAACCTTGACAATAAATTCAGGTGTTGTCTGTTTTCCACTATCCAAACTGCATACTAAACCAATATTAGCCATATAAATTATATCTGTGCTTTCATCAACTACTTTTATTGAACGAACGTTTTTAGGTGGCCAAAATCGAAATTTCTGTAGAAGACTAGCATAAACTAAAGCAGGTTTACGTCCTCTTAATTGTATTCCACTACGATCAGCCATACCAATTAGTTGATTGGATTGAATTTCATCGACAGGCCAATCAATACGTGCTCCAAATTCTTCGTATAACTTTGGTTGTATATTTAAACTAATTGGACTACCAGTTGATATAAGCCATACAAAACAATCATCCAGTGGGACAACTGCAGCAATTTGTGATGGAACCGATAAGTCTGTAACTGAAACAAATGTTAATAATATAAATACATTGTTTGATTGTGATATAAATCAGTAAACAATAGGCAAGCATTATTGTTGCTTGTAATTCCCCACCTTGTTATACTGGAACAAAGTTTCCAGTCTCTGTTAGCATATGGTCTGCTATTCAGATGCTTTGATATCCCCTGATTTTTCATCATTTTATAACTTACACGACAGTGACTTACAGTGGAGTCCAGGATGCGCATTTCTTCCCGTTGGGGACTCAACAACTGTTTCTAGTCTTAAAGGGAATGATATCACTCAATGGGGTGCAGACACAATCAACTGACGAGTCCTACACAGGACGAAACTTGTGTTTTAAATTCCAGTGTTCGCCATAACAACATAATAGACAAACAACTATTACTACATGTCAATAAGTTGTAAATAGGACCTATGCTACCACTAAACAGTCTGAAGTGAACATCCAAGTTTACTTGTGTAAATAGTTTTGTTAAGTACAATAGCTTTAACAAAAATCTGAAATTGAAACAGTTAAAGCTGGTTAGACTTCGATTGTCTTTTTCATTACAGAAAGAGTGAGCAAAACAAAAGAAGAGTAAGAAAATAAGAAAAAATAAAACTGAGAGGTTTCAGTTTTGTATTAATCCTATTACGATGTTCATTCAATGTCGTCTTTGAGTACCTGTCCTTAGATCCAATTTCGTTTGTCCCACCAGTCACAACTTTTATCTGAACTTAAGGAAATCTCATCTTCAAGCAAGTTAATCCATAATGAATACCAGCTTAAAATTAATAAATCTTAACAAACTTCTAGACTTGGAAAAATAAGAAAATTTTAGAGTTCATAAGCAAAGGAAAGGAAGGAGGGATAATGGGAAGTTAAAGACTTCAAATGTAGAAGAAAAAACTAACCACAATCTTTCTAAATGATATTCAGTTACAGTCTGATTTTCAGTAATATGTAAAAATGATTATAAAAGTGTAGTAGATAAAAAAAGTTTAAAATATTTTACAGAATGAAAGATAGTTGATCCATTTGAAGAGATTGCGACTTTTATCAATAACTTCTTTGATTCCTATGAGTAGTACAAAGTGTATATTGTTTGAGATGTTCAAAAGAATGTAAATGGGTGGATAGTTATCCAACAGACAAGGAAGTTAATGTCAATAGAGCTTATCGGTTTAGACTTTAATTCTTTACTCTATAAAACTGTTTGGTTCTTCACTTACAATTGGTTGATTTCAGAAATCTTAGTTTCCAGGTAGCTGATGCAGCTTTCTTATTGAAAGTTATATGAGGACATAAATTAAACAGTTTAATTACAATACATAATACTGAATCGTTGCATATCCTTCTTGTTATAAGGATTTTACTGACGTGTCTCAGGATGAGTGAACCTGCAACCCATATATGCATCATCAATGATAGGTGAACACAATGATGACACTTTCATAGTTTATGATGAAGATATGAATCTTGGAAAAATTTACTTCATACTTTCAACAAAACCAACCTATCAATTATATTCACTTTAAAATTAGAATCAAATTCAACATTCCGTTTTCTTGATATTTAACTTCAAAGAAAAGATGATAATTGACTTCATAGATTGATCTATAGAAAGCCTTCGTGGAAAGGATAGTTTATAATTTTCAAAGTTCAGTCCCTCTATGTAGGAAGAGAAATCTTATCGAGTCAATTTCCCCAAGAATCACGAAAATATGTTCTGAGGACTCCGTTGACGGAGAACTGAAAAATCTTCAACGAACTCCAGTAGAAAATGATTCTCCACTCACATTCATAGAAAACAACATCAAACCAAACAGCCCAACTGTACAAACACATTTCCAGCTGAAAAAGATTCTTTCGTTGAATCTCAAATTCGAGAATGATATTGCTTTAGACATCTTCAAATAACAAATGTCAAAGTCCTTAAATAGAACATACTTCACCACCAACCTTCGAATTATCTTCGCCTGCAAGAAACATTTTTGACAATGTGTGAAAGACAAGCTGACGTATTGGGCCACACCAATCTGTGTATACCAGTTGACTTGTTCTTGTGGAGCTGAGTACATCGGTTAGACAATGCGTCCGTTTGTAAAACGTGCTCTCGAACACTACCCAAGCTGGTTGACAAAGGGAGAATGGAGATGTATCTTCACTTCAATAACAGAACACCTTGTGAATTCAGGCCACCCACATTCTGTTGAGAACTCATTCAAAATCGTCGACAGGGTTCGGTCAGACCACTGGAAAGGAGTAAGATGAAGACATGTGGGTATAGCTGAAGGACTAGGCATTCAGAAGTTCAAACCAGCGTCATGTGTCCGAAAGAGGTAGTCCAACCTTTATCTTCATTGTGGTTATCATAGGGTTTTGACTTTCATAGATTCATACTGTATCATGTAACTATGCATTTATTTTCATAATCCCTTGTTTATTTCCCACTGTACACCCGCTTGTGTATTCATCAACTTTTTTTATATACACAAAGATCATTCCAAATGTTCACCTATGGAAACCTTGTTACTCTTTTTACTTCCTCTAACTAGTCGAATTAAGTCATCTCTCCGGCATCAATCAAGCGGCGGAGCCACTCCATCGATACCAACCCAGTGACTTCATTAAACCATTCAGTCGGTAGTAGCGATGGGTGATGCGTACAAAGGGAAAGAATAGTTCTACTTTTAAGTGATCGCATATTTCGTCTTGTAATGCTTGTATGCACTTCATTTCCTAACTAAGATAAACAACAATGGTTATGAATAGACGTATTGTGAAAAACGGATGTAATACTAGTACTGAGTTGGTGATGGGAGTAATAGACAGCAGTTGATTTCTTTTTAGTCCAAAGTAAAGAATGAAGTAGACGGGAAAGGTAGTGAAATTGTATATTACAACACCCAACATGATGGAATAAAGTTAGAGAAGCCTTTAAATTTATCAGAGTTAATAAAATTTCGATAATTACAATAGGACATTCAGATTATCAATTCACCTTGTTCTGTTGGAAGACCAAAACGTAAGTCTGAGAACAAAGGGATACCAGGTGGGTTTATCGGTGGTTCAGTAGTCACAATATCTGATCCAAGAATAATTAAAGATGGAGGTTGAAGCTGCTTGGAATCACTCCCAGAATTGGCTCTGTTCTCAATTGTAGCCTGTGAAATGGCTGGGCGATCAAGAACATGCATATTTGCAGGGATCCATAAAGAAGCATCCTTAGACGAATGAGAGATCTGATCAGAAATTTCATGATGTGATGCCTTCAGCAGATCTGTTACCGTCATAGGTAGAACATTTAACCTAATATCCGCAGTCGGTATAGTGAATGACTGGTCTCCGGTACACCTGGGTACACAAATACAAAACATGACAACAGTTAAACATTTAAAGTTATTTTTCGTGAGATAGTGGTTTGGTCTAATAATTTAGCAAAGTAATAAACTTTCATCGATATTCGCAATCATTATTCAGTAAATCACGAAGAATTGGGAAACACTGGTCATTCGATGACATCATATTTGTAATCAAAATTTATTCTTAGCCATTATAGGGACGAAATTTATATTTGGTAGTGAAAGTAAGAATGGGTGTTTCATCCTCTATAGGACTCTTCAGCCAGGGTATAATTGCATTGGTGCTAGGTGCCCCATCAAGAATCAAGCTCAGCCCCCTTGTTTACAAACACCACAATCTCCCTCTGCTAGGATGCTGCCTTACCGAGACGTTACCACCGATTTATTCAGGGCATGACTGACTTCCGGCGAGGTGGATAAGTTACGATGGTAATTTACTGGACTGTAACCAATTTTATGTTATTTAGCCATGAGTGCTGATCAAATTCTAAGGATCATTTAGCAGTGCGGCTTCCGAGTTAGGAGGCTTACATTTAAAGGATCCCTACCAATTGCCTACAATCAACTAACGCTTATCAAAGTGCACCATGATGGTAAATCTCCTAGCTTATCAGTTATATTGCAAAATGGTCGACAGAATTTGATCAACACTCACAGACTAGATAACAGTGTCCAACCATTGTATGCTTCAATCTGTTTCAGGAGAATTTAAAAGTTATATAAAGATTGCAAATACATCAGTTATTCTCTCATCTTTGCCCAAATCAATAATACATAGGATTTACATCACTTTAAGAATCCTAGAATCAAAGATTACTTTTATTATCTGCCAAGTAATTATTATAAATAAGTTAAATTTTGATGTTATAACTCGCAAATAGCTTAGTGCTAAACATCATTCACTGACATATAAGTACATTCAGTTGATGAGTCCTATGTGGGACGAAACTTGCCTCATGGAATTCACTGCTAGCCATTATCAATCATTAATATTCATTTAGTCCCAATAATGACAGAAATTTACAAAGTAGAACATCATACAAGGAATAGCTATCGTGCTATCCTCTGCTAACCACAACCAATCACATTACATTGGGATTGCATTATAACTTATTTTCATAATGTCATGAAATCACAGTCAGCGGTTAAACATTCGTTACAACCATGAAGTGGATCGCAGTTGGGTGCGTATCATTTAGTATCTCTAAAAATTTTAATATTTAGTGATGGAGTACATAAAAATAACCATTTTAATTTTTTAGTACATAAGAAATCCAAATTTCCTTTCTTCATTCACTTCACTGATACAACTTTTTGGTTAACACAACATTTGTCATAGTAACTAATTGACTGAAATACATTCAAGTAATAAGAGGAAATAGAATATTTTTAGTAAGAAAAAAAAATGAAATTAAGAATAAAGTTTTTATAAATTTTGATTTACCCTACCTATAAGCTGTTAATAGTCGTAATAAACGAGCTTGAGCGATATTTGGCACATAATTTACACTAATTCCTGGTTGAGGTCTAGCGTATGAAATTGCAGTCAATACATCGACTACATGATTCACATTTTGTCCACTCACAGTGATCACATCATTTTCTAAATGTATATCAATATCTGGACATAATACCTGTAAAAAGTACATTTAAATTAAGTTTATCAGTGAAAATGTAACAGATTTTAACGTATGATAAAATTTACAACAAAATAATTAAATTTTGAGGGAGTTGTGGAGATTTGGAATTATTTCAGGCTGTTATTCATCGTAGACTGACATCAGTTGGAGGAACAAAGTCAGCATTGGATTCTGACCCAGTGGCTCAATGGTAACGCGCTGGCCGCGGAACCTGAAGGTCGCGGGTTCGATCCCTACCGGTGTGGGGTCATGGGTGCGCACTGCTGAGGAGTCCCATACCAGGACGAAACAGCTGTCCAGTGCTCCCAGGTTTCCTTTGTTCCTCCAACTGGTGTCAGTCTACGATGAATAACAACTTGAAACAAAGTAATTTACAAATATCTGATTAATAGACTCATATATACTGTGGAGAGTAAGAAAAGTAGGAAAAATGGCTAGTGACTGTGTAGTTCACAGAGTTCTAACATTATAGTTTAGGTAAGTTTTATGTGATGTGCTCAAAAGTAGTTTCTCATTCATGTTCTAGGGGTTATAGAAGCGGGGATGAAAATATGTTTAAGCCTCTTGTTTTGTACCTACCTTCCAGTGAGTGATGACGTTTTCATTGAGGCTCAGACTACATACCATTCACCTCAGGCACCAAAGCCTTATTCACTAGACTACAGAGCTACACTATAACCATTTATTGTGTACAAATCATTGTCCACTTGAACTTGTTATTTCAATAATACTTCAATGTAAATTAACAATAGTTAACTCTCCGTTTACTAGTATTACATTTGTTGATGTTTTAATGGGTTTAATCAAGTAACTTAACCTGTGCAACTTGTAAGAAAAAGGAAGCTTATAAGTCAAGTTGAAAAAAATTCTTTTAATACCAATGAATCATGATAAACTTCTGTTGTTCTATGATATATGCTTATTGCATATATGTGAAAGTAGACAAGTGAATAATAATCTCCACACTCCACACTTAGTGATCACCTATTTCCGAGGTAAATAGGAAAGGTGGTAAGTACACGTATATATATGTACTAACGATAGCCCTGACTATTTCTAGGCTTTTCTAGAAGAACATATCCGGTGATTTTGTCTCTTCAACCAGTCCGATATTTACAAATAGGTTCACAGGAATTTCATCGAAGCTTCGAAGCAGTATAACTGGTTGTGAAAGGCTTCAGGGATTTAGGGCTTCCAATGAGGATCTGGGCAATCTTATCACATATTATAACATCCTTTAACAGTCTTGAATTCCATTTAACTGATTTATTTGATGTATCATACAGTGAAACAGTATTATTTAATGGATTATTTTTCGGACACGATTCATTGTCCACAAATATGAGACATCCTTCATATAGACTCCTAATTCCCTCATCGCCTATGTGATTTGAATAGTAGGATTCCCCATATATCCCGAACAGGTAATGACTCATTCCTCTCGCATATGTTTCGTGTTCATTTGATAAACGAAGATTCAGTCATCAATCCTTACCTCCATCTCACTTGGTCATTTTTTAGGGATTTTCACCTTGTCTCATCCACTTGTGTGGTTGTGTGCAGTTGAATGAATAGCTATGACCGAGCTACTTTCTTAATTCCTCACCTTACTAGTATTTACCACTTTTGATTTATGTAGGTTTAGACACTAGTGTCTATTGTAAACATACACACTCAAACTGTTACTTAGACATCACAAATCACCATACCGTATGTCAGATAAAGTTGCAGTGGTAAAATGCTTAATTATCAGTGCGAAGATACTTACGCGTAAAACAGATGATACAAACCGAAGAATTAGACAACTTAAAGGCATTTTACTCATCAACAATTCCCCTCCTTAATTAATCAATAAATCTCTCTGTAATCCTAGGCAAAATATGACTAATATTAGTAACACAGGTGTAAATAATAGTGATAATAATGTCATTAATGATAGTACCAATACTGTGAAGATGACATTCAAAACCATCACAGTATTACCACCACCATACAAGAAAGACACATCACAGACATCTAGTAGGATTCTCAATAAGGCTGGTTGAGATTAGAGTGGTATTTGCAGTTACATACTGACTTGGAAGCAAGCTTTGTTGGTTAGACGATTCTATTTATCTAATGAGGTAGAATAATTTAGTTCACCGAATGCCTAGCAATGATTGTGAGGTCAAATAAATATGTCGAAGTAGTGGACCAAGGTCAGTCGGACCATCGGAGCACAGAAACCTGTCTAGACGAGAATTGGTATATCTTAGGTAGTTGATGAATTAAGAAAGTAGTTCGGTCATAGCTATTCATTCAACTGCACACAACCACACAAGTGGATGAGACAATTTGAAAATCCCTAAAAAAGTGACCAAGTGAGATGGAGGTAAGGATTGATGACTGAATGTTCGTTTATCAAATGAAAACGAAACATATGCGAGAGGAATGAGTCATTACCTGTTCGGGATATATGGGGAATCCTACTATTCAAATCACATAGGCGATGAGGGAATTAGGAGTCTATATAAAGGATGTCTCATATTTGTGGACAATGAATCGTGTCCGAAAAATAATCCATTAAATAATACTGTTTCACTGTATGATATATCCAATAAATCAATTAAAATGGGACTACATTCTACCGCACAACTCAACTTTATTCCTCAACCATCTTTTTTAAAGCTGATACTGAATGGTTACATCATCAACACTGTTAGTAAATGGAATGAAAGTCATCGTCTTCTGTAATACATAAGAAAATCATTTTATGCTTAGCATATTAGATAGCGCTATGCTAACATTCTTGTGTATAAAGTGGTATATTAGAATCCTACTAAGTGTGTACTGATTGGGATTTGGTAAAAATGGATGTATTGAACATGTTTTTATATTGATCTGATGTGGTTCTACCTTTTACTAACAAAACAGACAGTTATTTCGTCTATTGAGTGGTAACGACACTTTTGACAAGTATTTCAAATAATAATACTAGTAATAATAAAGGAGTAATAAGTAGTTTCACAGGAAGATATTAAACCAGAGACTCTAATGTTTTCAACCCTTATCAAGTTTTGAATGTACTTTTCGCCGAGTCTAAATTATGAATTAAAGGAGTGTATCACTATAGTTAACCGGCAAAATGATGGGAGCAGTTCAAATCTGGGTTATATATGCCTATCCTGTAGTTGAACGTTGTTTGAAGCCTAAAAATGACTAAAAGTAGACACAATGTAACCTAGCATAGTTATATCGAGTTATTAGCTATCGACCTAACCAATAATTTAAGGGAATGAAGACTACTTGTTTTTTTTATCAGCAAGATGTTAACAAATCAGCAATTAAAGTCCAATTATCGATCACAGTAGTTTTCATACAACAACATTTCACTTTTCCCTTAACTTTGTTAGTTTGATGTCTTTTTTCCTTTTTATATTTTTCATCTAGTTTCTGCTGAACTATGACTGACTTCATTTTAGAAAGTTTTATCTGTAAATTGATATCGAATCGAAATTGAAATCTACTCAGCAACCATGTGCACATTAGTGCAGTAGGCAATGAGCCAAACTTATTGTGTCAGGGTTAGTTATACTATTATCTGGCTGCCCAAAACTTAGTAGGCAGGGCGGTGTTCAAACTTATAGCCTATTATTCGAAAGTAATCTTGCTAAGCCAATGAGCCACAGCTCTGAAAACTGATGCGCGTTTATACAAAGTTTTCTTTCTTCTATTTTATTCCCTTGGCTACTGTTGACTGTCTTGAATTTCACTCTAAAAAGTGAGCTTCTAATTAGTTCACTGGCATTTCTACCTTTCTTTTCTCCATAGGTTTCATTTTCTGTTTATTAAGAGAGAGGGAGGCGAAAAGAGTGATAGGGAGAGAGGAAAATCTTACTGGTTATTTTATTGAAAGAAATACTTTCATAAGTTAATCAGATCTATTCTCATGGGTTTATAAAATAAATCACATTTTTAGTCTATCAGGTTCCCTTGATATAAAAATCAGGTTGCGATGTTACAACAAAAAGCTCTTGAGCAAAAATCACAGTCAGTTAACTATTTTTATCTAAATGTAGATTTAGTGTGGTCAAGATCATTTAGAAATGAATGTATTCAGCATTCCTGGCGACTGTGATGACTGTTGTTAAGACAGTAGAAAGCTTTCTGTCAACGATCTGTCTTCTTTTCTTGTCTTCGCACTTCGGTGATATTGTTGTTGTTGTTGCGGTGGTGGTTGACATTCTGGCTTGCATTAGAGTCGATTCGCTTGAGCGTTAGGTTCGTAACGTCCATAGTATGCTAGGTTTGTATCGCTCATAGATTCTTAAGTCGTACTACCGGTCATACCACATGATTAAGATACGTAGGTCTAGATTGGACGCAGCTTAAGAATATGGTGAAATAAAATAACGTTTTCTGTTAATACTTGTAATTTCCTGTTGCTATACAGGGTCGAACCGCTTTAACCTTGTTGGCGGATGGGCTCTTATATGGTTGCTTCGATACTACTCAGTATAGCAACAGGAAATCACGTGTCAGCAAACAACAACTCATACCCGTTGCACAAGTGGTTGCTGTGGCCTTGTGGATAACACCCCGGCACTTGAAGCGATGGGTACGAAGTTTGAGTCTTAAAGGGGACCATATCACTCACTGCGGTGCAGGCGCATCCAGCTGGTAAGTCCCAAGTAAGACGAAGTGCGCCTTCTGAAATCCAGTACTGGCGGTCAAATAGACTATGGTAAAATGACGTCGTTTTATCCTGCAAATCCATTCTTTGGTGCTTTATTCACTTTTATCGAACACGCCAAATATATGAGGTAATTTGTTTGCTGATTAAACTAGTCGCTTCCATCAAAGGAAAGTTATGATTGGGTTTATTCAGTTGAGAGTTTTTAAGACAAACTTAATGTATATGAGGAGACTGAGACTGAAGCATTTTCCCTACCTTCTGTTGATTGAATAATTGGCTTTCAGGATTTTGTTACAAAAGAAATTGTTGAGTTGAAGTTGAAATATCCTCAAAATGTGTGCACATTAATATAGTAGGTAATGAGCCACACTTGTTGTGTGACGTCTAATGACACTTTTACTCGGCTGCTCGAACCTCATTAGGTGGGGCGGGGTTCGAACCCATGGCCCAATGGTTGAAAGTCAATTCCCTTAACCAGCGAGTCACAGCTCAATAGTATTCTGTTACACTCTCATATTTGTTGAGTGATTGCTATATACCTCTAATTTTGCATAGCTTTTGCCCCCTGTTTTACCCTTAATTTAAAAATAACATATGGCTGTTCTCATACCATTACTAGTTTTTCTCCTCTCTCCTCTCAAGACTGAACTCTCATCGGTTGTTAACTATTTTAACCTATATGTGTTGTCAAGACCATTTAGAAATGTATATACTCAGTATTGCTATCAACTGCATTCATTACTGTTGAGAAAGTGGAAAGTTCTCTGTCAATGATCTGTTTTCTCTTCTTTTCTTCGCGCTTCGGTGGTATTATTGTTGTTGTTGTTGTGGTTGATGTTCCAATCCGCGTTAGAGTCGATTCATTTGCGCCTAAGGTTCATATAGTTCGTAGAGTGTTAGGTCGTATTACCGGTCATAACAGTCATACAGTAAAGTCTGGTATTTAAGTGGACTTGGCTGTATTGTGTTCACTGAGATGGGTTGTTTAATCGTGAAGCTTTCGTCGTCTTTCTAGACAACATCATCAGCACTAAATTCAGTCCACCTGAGCTACAAATATTCTCCGCTTAAATGAACCAGGAAATGGTCAAATCAAACAGATTAATTGTAAACTAGCAATATTGCCTATCTTTAGAATAACTTGACAAGAATCAATATCAGAAAGCTAGAAATGTAGAGGGGAAATTGTTCTTGGTCATAATCTTATAAACCTTCAATATAGGTAAATATTCCACATAAAGATTCATACTATGAAAGGTCGCTTCACTTCACTGTGCTGATAAGGTCGCTTAGCCTGGTGATGAAACACACGTGTGAAAATATCAAAGTATAGGATTCGCCAAGACACAACGAAACTAATCAACCAGGATGCAAGAATAGCAGACACATATCACATTATTATGAAAATATGATACTGTATAGAATAGTTAACCTGTGTAATTATACAGAAATACCTGTGTAATCAGTTTACTGGCAATAAATTTATCAATTAGGATTTCTTCCTTCAGAAAAAATCATGTAATAATTACCTCTAGTACATTTGGGATTAGTAGAGCCTCACCACACTGGCTAATACATCTCAATGTATTAGGTGATTCAGTCTTTCCATACAGAATTGTTAAACCAGTCAAATCAGCGTTTAAGTGTTGTCGAGTGAGATGTGTCTGAGGATCGTAACATGCTCCAATTGTTAGTCTGTAAGAAAAAAAGATAACCATGATTCACTCTGGGAAGTACACTATATGGAATTATCGAATGCTTAAGTTAAAAAAACATATTCTAGACTAGTTATATGAGTAAAACTTTGTATAAAAATAAACTAAATGAATGAAGTTACCCTAGCGAAAATTAAAGTGAAGATCAGTCTAGTTGAATTTTTGTTGACTACATGAAAATGCGATCAGTTATCTCTGATTCTAGATCAATTGAAGCGTTTATGACTTTTTCCTTAGTTTACTATAGGCTATCTTCTGTTAACATTGAGAGAAATTGATTTTAATAAGGTATTCATGTATAGATTGAGAAAAATCTGTAGAGAAGTCTATGCTCAGTTTTTGATGACTCTTAGATTTGATATTTATGTTGAAGAAGTTAAACAGGCTGTTATCTATCAGTTTGGTAGCAACTTTTCTGTTTATGGTGTGAAACAGTTACATTTGACAATAGTCCTCCTTGAATGGTCTAGTGCTTAATTCTTCAAAAAGTTAGACAATAAATCTTAGTTTCACATACGAAAGTACCCCGAGTAAACTGTTTAGGTCTCATGGTTCCTGTCTTATTGATGATTGTGTATTAGGCAATGTTGCAAGTGTGGTTTATTTTTCCTGGTCCTGCTATATGTTACTAATTTCCAAAAGAATCATCAGCCTAACGTTATATATTAGGATGCTGAAAGTATCCGGTATAAATCAACTTCTTATCTTGTGTTTTATAAACTCCTGTATATTGCCTATTTAACTCTATTGCTCCCCTTTTCCTTTCCTGGGTTACTAAAAGAAGACTATAGCATATTGCCTGGAAATTTGGGAGATTGTCAGCATTATTAGTGGTGTACCTGTAAATCTTGCAATTCAAACTATTGTGAACAAACATCTTAACTCATGTAAACATCTGGCGGGAGTTATTTTATCAGATGACCAGTATTGCCTTCAGTTAAAACAAGACCAAAAGCAAGTACATAAGACTTTATGCACGTTTTACTAAATATAAAAACTCTACAATAGCGTATTTTGTTCATCTCCTGTGCGACAAAGAAAGTGTGAGAAATGAAAGTAAACTAAGTAAAGATCATACAGCTTGCCATTATTTAGGTATTATGAATTTTAGTTACTTAGTTGTGGCTAACAGAGGAATTCAGGATGCATGTTTCGTCCTATCTGGGACCCGTCAACTGGATGTATCTGCATCCCAGTGAGTGATATTGTTCCCACTGAGACTCGAACCTCGTACCCATCTCTTTAAATGCAAAGGTGTTATCCACTAGGCCATAGAAGTTAAGTAATTTGATCCAGTAAAACAACGGAGAATTACAAGCATATCAACAAAGAGTAATGTTATGAATGTAATTACTAATGTGACAGTTTACCTAAGTTAACTCTGCATTTTTAAGAAAGTTGTAGATGGAGTAACTATTCTTATCTTTCATATGTATAATTTCTGTTTACTTCATTTTATTACGTATTCACTTGAGCTGTTTCTGTTCAAATGATGCTATATGACACGTTGAACCATCTTTCAAGATAAAGTCATTAATATCATTATTTTCTGAAAACATACCCTAAAGGGCCAATGAATCAATGGAAGTGGGTTTATGTACTGAAATCCAAGCACTGGGTATTCATCATTTAGTCAAGTTATTTATTTATTTCTACTTGATTAAAAAGTATGTTAATTGGAATAGGAAAGCAAAAGCGGGATGTTACACAGATGAAAGTACAGATTTTACTGTCATATACCGCGTTTCGAAGAACCTATCCACCTGTATATTGTTTAAACATTCTCCATTTTAGCTGAAGCTGTGACTACAAGATCAAATAAGCTTAAACTTATTATTCCAGAAAGAAAATACCCATGATTCACTTCTTTCTTGTTGATTAAATACTATACTTTCATCTTTAGGTTTCGCTTTTGTCTTACCGTTCTATCTCTTCATTTCGAAACATGATTTTAATTAAATTTTTTCTGTTTGCAATTTTTTACCCAAATAAACATCTAAAATTCTAATGAAATTAATGAAGGATAGTGGCTAGCAGTGGAATCTAGGATGTGCATTTCATCCCATTTGGGACTCACTAGCTGGATTTACCTGCTTTTTAGTGAGTGATGTTGTTCCCATCAGGATTCAGACTCGAGAGTGACCGCTTCAAACGCCAGGGCGTTATCCACTACACCACTGAGCCACAATAGGCACTGCTTGTGCGACGGGTATAGTTTTAGTATGGTTGTTTTCGTTTCATACCCTATCCTAATAGAGACCGATCAATTCGGTTCAGTCAACGACGGTATGATATAAAAACAATTATGCTCTAAAATTCTGTTAAAATTTTGTTTTAATTTGTTTATCATTCTTATTATTATTACTTTTATTATCTTGCTATTCCAACCATTTCACATTTTGATCACTTTATGATGAAATTTTCATTTACTTCTCTGCTCTCCTTGTGGTAAATTACTGTCATTCATTGAATTAATCACTTACCTAGCACAACTTCCAACCTTCAACTTTACTACTGATTTTCCTTCCAGCATCTACTATAATTAATTTTCATTCGTTTAGCATTTACAATTTACACTCAACTTATTAGTGCAGTTTATATAGATAGACTTCTCAAAGTTCTAGTGAAAAGTTATGACCTATAGGGTTAACCGAATTGAATGTGGGGTCAACTAATAGCCAGTAGCATTAGATGAGGGCCGTACTTTATCGCAAATACACATAAGTAGTAAAATATGAAATACCACATTCCTGTCTAGTGGTTGAAAGGTAAGTTGCTTGCAATGAGGCCGGATAATCCTCATTTTGAGCCCCTACAGGGTTTCATCTGTTCGTTGCTGAGAAATCTTCTGCTTATAGGAAGTGGCTGTTCAGTGCTTCCAGGTTTCCAATAGTTTAACAAGTGATGTAATTCTAGGATAAATATTAGCCTGAAATACACACTTGTATTAGTCATGGTATCGTCTACACGCTTGAATTAGTCTAATTATAATTTTGTATCCATTTTTAACCTCGCCTAGTTTACTAGCCGGATAAAAAGGGAAGGTTGGGCATAGGGCTAGCTACACTACCCTGGAAAATCAATCAGATCGCTGGAGAAACTTCAAAGCACAGAGAAAATATAAAAAACAAACTTATTCCCCGTTGGAATTTGGGAGACGAAATGACGCCAGTTGGTAAGAGCTTTCCGGAAGCCAACTGGGCGACGTGTCTTCTCTCTCTCGACGAAAACGAAAGTAGGAATGAGAACATGGAATGTTCACACAATGCTTAAAGCTGGCTGGCATGGCTGCCCAGATTGCAAAAGAGATGAGTTGATATGGCATAGAAGTGTTAGGAATCTGCGAGAGTAGATGGAATGGAAGTAGACTCTCCAAACTCTTAACTGGAGAGTCAATAATCTACTCCGATATTGTCACTCAGACAACAACCACGAACATACTGAGTTAGGGAGTGGCTATCATGATTTCCTCAAAAGTATCGAAGTTTCTCATGCAGTGGGAACAAATCTCCTCCAGGATCAGGATCATGACAGCAAGATTTAAATTAAAAGGAAGGAAAGTCGCAGTCATACAATGCTAGGCTACGTACCTACAAATAATGCAGACCAAGAGAAGAATTCTATAGACAACTGCAATCAGTACTAGACAAGACTCCAGTTGACGAAGTCAAAGTTCTAATGGGTGATATGAATACCAAACACAGGAAGAGAACTCATCATTAGTCGAGAGGGATTCGGTGAAATGAATGAGAATGGAGAACTTTGCTACATTTTAATGCATCCACATCAAACTTGATTTTATAACAATAGATACCAAAGAAAAGTGACAGTATAGAATGTTCTTTGTTCATACTTGACTTTTAATATGTGAGCTGAAAATCCTTAAGTATTTAAAATCATATGACTGAGAACTATAGGTAAACACTTTGATCAGTTATATGTAATTACCTCCTAGTGAGCGATGCTTTCCCACTGCAAGGGTCTATCTATCACTGACATAAAATTGATACATGAGCAATATTGAGGAGTTTATGCATATATGCCGATAATGATAGATCAATTCAGTCCAGTCAACCACTGGGTAATACATGTAACAACGTGAAAACTTTACCCATCTCACAAGAAGTGTTTATAATAACTCAGTGGTTTAGTGAATAAAACTCGTTTGAAGCGGTTGATAAAGATTTAGAGTCCTAGTGGAAGCAATATGGCATCCTCAAAGGGGCCCCATACAGCAGTAGTGGCCGATCAATTTGGTTCATTCAGTGACACGATAATACAAGTAACAACATAAACATTAAGATCATTGACTTTGGTCAAATATCTCATTACGAAAAAAACTACTCTACCAAAATGATCACTGATATGAACTTTGGAGTTGAAATATCTGCAAAATCAAAAATTATATTGGTTAAGTCAGCAATCTACTTCATTTTTACTACAGATAATATTGCTCTGTAATAAAAACTATCTTTACAACAATCTGTTCCCATCTAGAAAACTTACTGAAAATTATTTAAGAGATAATAGGGAAGACTTAAAGTTCAAAATACGCATGCTGAGTGAAACATTGTCATGAAGTTAGCTCCGATGATGTAACGGAGCCTAAAGTAATGAAATATCTGAGATCAAGTAATAAAACTGAGTCCACTGTGTACCTTTCTGCTTATATTGAGCCACCGTTTACTTCGATGTGCCATGCTAGTGGAAGTTGGATTAAGTTGGAAGACGGTTGAGTGTGGCCATACCAAGACGTAGAACCAGTCTTTGAAGTCTCTTACCATTGCTGTGAGTCATGTCATGAGATGTAGACTGCCTGGCTGGGGTCTCTGATAGGATAGGGATCATTGGTTGAGGAGTCTTGGTGACATGGCTGAAAATCGGTCACAATGGTGTAGATGTGTTCACTCTTCAACATCATCTAAAGCTTGAGTATTTTCACCAACCTTTACCTTCAGATTGTTTATTCTCTAACACAACTTTTTCTACTTTGATATCACTCCTTTTCTATCCACCTGTTCTTTGTATGCTACTGTAAAGTGTGGCAGCTTGCGCCAATGCACTTGTGTGTGAGGTCCTACGTTGAATTTGTCCGCCAATCAGTCACTATAAAGACGAAAAATAAAGGATCTGACATGTTGTACAATCACAATATAAAGCGTTCTCACCCACCTTGGTTTTCCTTGATACTTTAAAGGATTCGAAGCTGATTGGATAGATTCATATACGGTAGGCATGGCTTTAATATCTAGATCCTGGCCATCGACCAAAATACTAATTGGATCATTTGTAACTGCTAATGGTGACGAACTAAATGTGATTGAATAATGATGCCAGATTCCATCATCATGACCAGTAGCTTGAGAACAAATCTCTCCTGGTAATGGATCAAATACCCATATGGTGGATTTTTTTGGGTCATCCACATTATTTGTAGAGGCAGATGACATAATTCTTACTATGAATCGACATTCACGTAGATTTATAGACAGGTATCTCCATTCAGGTTCTTGAAATAAAAAAAAGACGTAAAGTTGATGAATGAGATTTTATGGTGCTAAAGTACATTTGTAACTGGAAGGCAACCAATTTCATGTTGTCTGGTCGTGAGTACTCAATGGTTGCTATCGATCATTTTGCAATGTCACCACCAGGCTAGGAGGCACTTTAAATGGATTAGTGTTATTGCTTGCATTATAACATCTTTGATTGGGCCAAATTGATCGGTCTCTATTGGCATCCTGGTTTCCACTGCTAGCCACCATCCATCTTTACTTTAAGTGGATGTTATTTGGTTAGAGGCAGTCGGCGGGAAGCCTCAGTTTACCTGGGTTTCATGCTTGTTGGGGCTCGTTATCAAGGAGTATCTACAACCTTCGACAGGACATCGTTACCCTCGACGGAGTGATATCGGATAGGAAACTATTGGACACGTGGGAGGATTGAACAACTGTCTCGTCCAAGTACATGACTCTTCACCAGTAGCGATCCATAACCCCTCTAGGGATCCATCACTAAGCCTTCAAGTGTCACGACAAACATGTTAAGAATTCAGCCGCTTTGGAGTTCAGTGGTTCACAGTTTCCTACTTATGTCCGTGATGATTACTAACTTAAAAAGAAGAATTCATAATGTTCTCAAAGTTGATTTTCTTTTCGACAAATAATTTTCACTACTGTACATTCGTAAATATACAAGTCAGTTGACGAAACGTTCCATTCAAGTTCTCCATCAAACTTAAAGCTTCATCGACAGATAAGCAGAAGGAATGAAACAATCCATTACGTAGTACAAGAAGTGGTCTCAGTGGTACAATCAAATGTGTTGAATAGAAAGATTTGTTATCTGGTAAAATCAGATAAATCAGTAAAATACAAAAACAAGACATACATAAACAGAGGTATTGAGTATCTGCTGAAGACAATATGGAGACTTTCAGCACTAAGTGTTCAATTAAGGAACCCTGACAAGCATTGACGAGGTATTCTGCAGCAATATCAACTTTGAATTAGAGATTCATTAGAAGTGTTTTGTTCGGAACTGAGTGAATCTGTTTCATGGTATTCTTTTCCCTCATATATTTTTCTTTATAAATCTGGATGTGTAGCCATTCTCTAACAGTATTTCTTGGAGGGTTTCTGCTTACTGGATAAGCATATCATCAATGCATATATTTCTTATTCTTGATGAAAATGATCGAACAAGATTCCTTTTCAGTCTCCAACACCATCACTTAACACCATGTAGACTTTGAACATATGACTACTTTGAAAACCTCGTTCAAAGTTCTTTATAAAGTTCTACCAAGTCATTAAAAGGGATGAGGATTAGACGCTTATATGCAACTAAAGCTCTGGTAATTCACCTCAATTATGCATTCAAAAGAAATATGTGCGAACCATCACCTTAAACAGATACTCTGGACCTGTCTTTATGTTTCATTTATACCTCTCGTCTGTTTATTTGCTCTTACGAGATAAAAAAGTTTGCTGTTCAACGCATCTGATGTGCTATGTAATGTATAATTTCATTCCCTCTGGGCATCCGTCGATGAACTCTCACGATTGACCGGAAATTTGTGTGGGGCATTTCATCACTTTGTCTATTTATTTACGAATGTACACCTATGAAAATTACTTATCAAAAAGATAACTATCTTCTCTGAAACCTTATTCTGCTTTCATTGAAATAACTTGAATAATAATAAGAAAGTGAAATCTCTGTTGGATAATACGATTATTTCTGACAAAAAAAAATAATACATGACATATGGTAACATATTATTGAACAGCTTGAGCAGTTAATAAACCATCCAGATTGATCTATAGATTTCACCAGCCAGCCAGCCAGCCAGCCAGCCAGCCAGCCAGCCAGCCAGCCAGCCAGCCAGCCAGCCAGCCAGCCAGCCAGCCAGCCAGCCAGCCAGCCAGCCAGCCAGCCAGCCAGCCAGCCAGCCAGCCAGCCAGCCAGCCAGCCAGCCGGATGGCTGTTTCTCTCGTTTAGGGCTATGTCATTTCATCAGTGGTGCACCCGGACAGATTCAGCTTACACAAGTAAATTAGTTTAGATCAGCTGAATTCGGCTAGCTGACTTGTACAGGTGGTTATATCTGAAATATGATGATAAGTTTGGAAATGACTTACAAATTGCACAGTTCGTGTTGAGATTTCTCACAGCCAAGTAGTTTATCAACTGCCTAACTTTAGTGTCAGTCAACAGAGTTTTTGTTAAAAACCACTCACCAGCCAAGATCATAAGGTATGATCTCTGCAACAAAAGTACCATGAACTAGCAAAAGATGCTACTACTCAATAGCAGGAGTGGTCAGAAAGGTGTCAGGCTGATTTGTAGATTTCGCCAACTAGCCAGCCACATTAGAGTGATCAAAACACTGTATGGCTGTTTCACTCATTTAGAGCTGAGTGGTTTACATCGGAAACTCTGCTGACCTTACAGCTGGACAGCTGAAAAACTATTCATCTGTGAGAAAATCTAAAGAAAAGTTCCTTGAGTAACAAACACCTATGCAGAACTAAAGGTAGAGAAACTGACACCTGATATTCAATACGTAAATGGGTTTATGTTCTGTCTTTATCAATCAAAGCAGTTCTTAACCTAAAATATAGTGACAACTTTTTTAGAAGCAACAACCATTGCATATCTCCAATGTTATTGCAATAGGCCAAGACATTTACTTCAACTTCAGTGAGAATTCTATCAGGCGACAGAATTTAATTAGCTTACCTATACCATCATGACTACAGAGTATCGATTCTTCGTGTTCATCAGTAACTGATCTTTTTAAATAGTTTTCACCCTTATGTCGTCTAAGCCAGAAAGATATAGTGAAATCAGAATCCCAATTGACTGGTAGCTTTGTATAATTGAATAATCGGCTTGTATCCACTTCCCATAGAGTTGATGAAGCTGAATCAAATTTCCATGCAAGTACTGAGGGAGTTAAACGTGGTGGATTACCCAGTGCTGGTCCAACTAATTGCGTCACTATATCATATTCTGGATCAGGAAGCAGGTTGGTAACAGTGGTGGGATTTAAACCTGAAACAAATGAGAAGAAAGTTGACATATTTGATGGGTGAGTATATTTTATAGAGAACTTATTGAGTAAATAGTTTGGTGTGCAAACTTCTTCTTCTCCATATCTGTTAACGGCTTCCTTAGAAATAAGTTAATTAATACAGTCAATCACCCTAATGTTTATTGGTATTTGCAGTTTCCCTTTGCCATACTGGGTTGAACTGCTCAACCCCTGTTGGCTAATAGGTTCCTGCGCAGATGTCTAGATATTGTCTGAATAGTCATTGTGTTGTACTTTGCTTGGTGAGTTCATTCCTACTTCGGAGTCGTCAGCTGAATGTATCCGCACTCGGTGATATTATTTTAATCGGGCTGGAACTCGGTACCCATCGCTCCAAACGCCAAAGTTTTATCCATGAAGTCACCGGGATGCGAGAGCCACTGCCAACCATTAAGTAAACTACAACATGATGAATATTCAGACAGAGGTCGATAAATTCAACCCAGCATAGAAAAGGAAACCTAAAAGTAACAGTAAACAGCAACTTATATTTGCTGCAAAAGAAGTAACTCACATACCACAGTGACCTTGAGGACAAAGTTTTGGTGTTTAGAGGGGTGGGGACTGGAAACACCACCACATACAGGTGCATCCAGCTGACGAATCTCAGATAAGACGAAGTGTGCGTCATGAATTCTTCTACTGGCCACTAAGTATGCTGCAGTCACTATCATATTTAAACAGCTGGGAAACTATCTGTAAAGATATCTGTCTACCTTTAATTATATTCAACATTAAACAGTGTTCGTTTAAAGAATGATATGGATAGCATCAGAAAAACAGATGATCCACCAAGTTTGTCTGTTAGTGAAAAATCTGATTCTCTGAAAAATATAATTAGATAAGAAGGATTCTATAAAGTTGTGGTCAGAAGAATAGCTGTTACCTATTCTTGGTAAGCATTTACTCAAGAATAATGACTGACTAACGAATAGTGTTATTTCAAGTGCTGAATGTCTTTTCAGAGTCGAAATACTGCATTGAACACTGTAAATAACTGTTTCCATAATACAATGCGTGGAACCCAGATGGGAAGCGACGAGTTGGGTATCTGAGGTTAACATGGAGGAGATCGTGCGAGGAAGAAATGAGAGCTTGTGTGCTGTCGTGGAGCCAGGTTTAAAAGTTTGCAGAGAATAGAGTGCAATGGAGACGTGCTACTGAAGCCCTATGTTCCATTAAAAACCCAAGGGACAGATAATAATAATAATAATAATAATAATAATAATAATAATAGAGGCATATATTGCATATTAAGCCGTACAAATTAGAATGACTAGTACATGTCAACGATGCATCAAATACAAAATGCTTAATTGTTGGTTATTGGGAGAGTAGCACACTGAACATGGAACTCCAAGAATACTCTTTAGAATTCTGAACTATGCATTTTGTAGAAAATTTGAGTATTGTATGCATGCGCTAACTGAAACAGCGAAATCACAGTCATCAATAAATCTTTCAAAAAAGTTGTGCCTCTCAGTTTAACTAGATATCCTTTTGAGAATGTACATCAAAGAAGTATAGTATTATATTAGATAGATTCTGGTTTTATTTTCTTAATTTTTTAGTAAATACATTCATTTATAAGCTATACGAATGTTTAACTTTAGATTCAACAGTAATTTGATTGGGAAAGCCTGTCTAAGTGTAATTATAAATCCAAAATGATGATCTCAAACCGTGTTCTGCTCATCATATCAAGTGAACATCTGATGAAATTGAACAATAGTATAAAGCTACACGTTAATCAAACTCAGTGACAGAGGTAATCAATGGGTTTCGAGCTGTTGAATAATGAATTTTATCCTAAATCTGCCTAAAGTGGTATCAGTGATTGGGTAGTATTGTAACCTCTCATACAATAGGCGTAAACAAGTTCCATATAGTTGGTGATTGGCATACAGCTCACTTATTAGCCATATTCTAAAATTTGATCTAAACGACTCTGATTAGTGCTGACCATCGAGGGCTGGCTATATAGCTGCAAAACTTAATCACTATGGACCAGTCTGCATACTGATAAGGTTTTTCTGAGAGTCTTCCAGATTTTGTACCTCAAGTTTTTTGTGTATTTCCCAACCTTTTTCAGATTTATATTTGTACTGATTTAAGTGGATTTCTGTGCAAATCTTTGGTATGCTTGCGCAAAAATGGTCAACTTCTGAATAATTCATAGATTGTTAAGGAGTAAATTTATGTACACGCAATATTAGTTTGATTGTTTTTAAGTAAATCAAAGAATATCAGGGAGTTCTTGGAAGCTTGGCGTTCAGGTCAGTCAGATATCAGTAGATGCATAGACATAGATCCAGTCTATCAAGCAGAGGATGAGCCAACAAGAAAATTCACGCGGTCAATGACACAACCATCGAAGGAAGCAATTAATCAAGAACTTTTTCAACAAGACAAGCTACTGAGTCGCTCATGGAGAGACACTGATAGCTCACTTCATAATGGAATTAGTGCTAATGATGTTGTTTAGAATGACAGTGAAAATTTCACGAATGAACCGACCAGCTAAGAAAACTGAATATAACCAAGACTTTTAGATCTATTCTATGTAATATGCATAAAACTTCCATGCGAAATTACTTACTAACCTTTGAGACATTCGTGAAGTACGTACTGAACCATACGTAGTGTGAAAAGGCTAATGATACTACCTAGCTGTCTGAACCTCTGTAAGTAGAAAAGTGTTCTGACGCGCAACCCACGGGTTGTAGCTCAACTCCCTAAACCAATGATCCACAACTCTAAATGCATTTAACTTGGCCGATAGTTAACTGCACATAGTTTGTTTTCAAACTTTTATCCTTTGTGTAACAGCATTACTATCAACTAGACTTTCATTCACCATCATTACAATTCAACAGCTGGCAACACATTCTATGTGTCAACTCCGTGGAAATTAACTTGAAAGACTCTAAACGTCAGCCTAACAATGACTGAAATAACCGATTAGGTTTCTTTATTTCAGCTAGAAAGGAAGTCTAATCAATTATTGTTAAGATGACCCTTGGAGTCATTTTCTAATTTATTGGTTCGACATTATATCTATGTGAATCCTGATACATTACCAATGAACGTGTCTACTGGAGTCTTTACTCGTATTTCAACGTGGGCTCTCCATATATATGAGTTTAGTTAATATGTAATTAGTAGAAATTGGATAAGTCATTATCAGAAAATCTGGAAGTTGGTGGACCTATTGTCAAGTGTTCAAGAAAATACTTTTGTTTTACCACAGACTTATGAAAGTTAAGAAGTTACTGATCACTATGAAGCGATGAACAGATGTTCGATTGAATTTTGAAGCTAACTGTTAGTTCACATGACTAGACTCAAATACAATCAAACATAAAGTCTTCAGGTGTGTTACTCATGGTGAGCATGTTATTGTACCACTGTTGGGTAACAGTGTAATTAAACCTATTTTCCAGCACAATGAATCATCTATAGTTATTGGTAGGCATTCCTGCTAATGTACTAAATGGTTAAATCCATATTGTATGGATTCTATTCAGAGGTTAAGTGAAACGGATATTAACAGATATACTGAATAACTTTTTATGCCTTATTGCGAATTAACAGAAATCAGAGAATATGAGTGGGTAAATTTTATTTCTTAACCAGAAAGGTAGAATATTTACAATATTACTTGGAATGGTCTTGTATACAGTGTTAAATTGAACTTTGTTGAGGAGACTGTCACTTAGACGAGACACTTTCATGATAATTTCTTTCATTCAATGGTACTTTGGTTGGTATTGATTCATGGTGAAGACATGTAGCCAAATTCAGTGGTTTCACAGAAAATAGCTGCTACAAAAATGAACTTAACTCTTTCATACTACCTTTTACACATCGTACTACCGGTTTGAGTCATATAGGGGATTTGTAGACTGCGTGTTTGGGACCTTCAAGGCGAAAAGAAACAGTGGTTGAAGATTCCTGGTAACATGACTGAAATTTGATCATGATGACAGAGATATCTTCACCTATTGAAATCACTATTTTTCTATCCATCTGTTCTTTGTTTACTGCTGTAAAGTGTAGGAATTTGAGTCAGTGCGCTTGTGTATGAAATTCTACGTTGATTTTATAAGTCAGTCAAAGTAATCTTGCAATTATCCTCCTGGCATCATCTGCTGTCAATAGACATTGAGCTGTTGGCTCCGTTAAAAATAACAACTAAACAGTTGGTTTATTTATTCATACCAGTTAAATGAACCTAAAATGTTTCAACAAAGTCTTTTACGGAAGTAGATGTGTGATGTTAGTTTGACGCTTGATAAATACTGTAAGGTCTGTTATTACATCTTCTTAATTAAGTAAAAAATAAATATTGAATACTTACCACAGAATTTTTGTTGTCTTTTAATACTAGCAGGATCATGTCGACAGGATTGTGGATTAGCTGTTATTAAATTATGACCAATTACAGCTGATCTTAGCTCTAATCGAGCTTCTATAAATGAATCAGCGCATGGACCAGTACATGTTTCTAAGTGTAAGCTTGAATGAGAAAAAAGACGTTCAGGTTTTTCTTCGGAACCCAGAAATTCAATATCAGTTGGTAAATCTATTAATAAAGACAAAAAATAAGTAGATATAAAGTATGTTGCGTTCATTGAATGTAAGTTGTTAATTTTATAGTTAGGAGGTATATTAACAACATTCTACACAGAAGTACATAAAATCAGTAGAATATAAGGGACCTTTTATTTTTCGATATATGTGAATGTTCATGAATAAACAGTAAAGAGAATGGAGTAATTTTCGGTCAAAAGTCAACGTACATCCGGTTAATAAGAAAGTAGTTTAATAGGAGAATAAACAAAGTGATTACAAAATAACAATAGATACGCCACAAGAGAGTTGTTTAGGGTGATCGACACACTATGATGATCATGACAAAGAAAGAGGTTGCATATACTTCTTTTAATCATAGAACGATGGTGTGAACTTTCAAATTGCTTCAGCTATGCCCATAGACATCCAGAAAGAATAAGCAACAAGGAACTCTGGCCTGCCAAAGAACCAACCAGGAACCTATCACTCAGAAAATATGCAGAAGATGAAGATGAATTGGGCACACACTGAAGAGACCGATTGGGGACATCACGCTCCGGGCCAGTTCGTCCAGTGAAATCCAAAGGGGAAACGACGAGTTGGGCGTCCTTGGCGAAGGTGACATTGAGGAGATCATGTGAGGAAGAAATAAAAGCTTGTGGGCAGTGGTGGAGCGAGGTCCAAAAGACTGCAGAGAACAGAGTGCAATGGAGGCTTGCTACTGAAGCCCTATGTTCCACTAAGAACTCAAGGGAAAATAATCATAATAATAACAATGCTCATATATCCTACACTAACTCGAGTCGACTACCTTGGTTGCATCCACGTGACTGACACCCATTATCTTTTTCATTTCAAAAGTTTGTGAGGATTTGTAGATTTCAAGTTAGTACTCATTACAGACAGATATCAGTTAGAGAATCATTGAATACCTGGCAGTACTGTACATCTGTTTCATCCTAGTACATAACCATGATCCCAACAGGTACTGCAATTAAGTGACAAACCAATTTTTTCTAGTTTAAACTTGTTCGCATATTGAAAACTGCTTTCTTGCAGTCTCAGTTAATCGTTTAATATCCTCATGACCGTTCTGTGACTAGAACTTTATTTCTCTTTGCAGGACTCTATTTTTCCTACCAAGTTGTACTTCTGTCTTGTGTTTACAAGTGTCCCCACTTCCTGTTTCTTAGCGATCGAGGTTCTTTATTCGAAATTAATTTACGAAACGAACAAACAAACGAGCTCAATCCTTCTGAAGCTTGCTGAGACCATAGTCATTAAACGTCATTACTCTGTTTTATATGTTCAGGAAGAAGCTGTAGGCAATATTTGTCTACTTTGGTAACCTTTGCTTGACCGTTATTTGATGACATCACCACTTATTAAATTCAAATATACATCCTTGTTTAGTTGCATTTTCTCCTGATGGATCACATTTCTTTATATAGACCGTTTCAAGAGTTTGGAGTGATGGGTACGATATTCGAGTCTTACTGAAAACAACATGACTCACTGGGGTGCAGGTACATCCAGCTGACAAGTCGCAAACAGGAAGAAACACGCGTCCTAGATTCCTCTGCTAGTCACGACCAAGTAAATTACCATAATAAATATTCAGGCAATGTCAAGGCATCCTCATAGGAACCCCTATGCTAATAGAGGTCGAACAACTCGACCCAGTAGAATACAACGGAGAATTGCAAGTATACCATCGAATGGTTGTAACTGAACTTAACTCATACTATTTTACGTGTTTTGTTTGTTAACTTACTGATCGTATGACCTACATACTTATTCTCATAATGTTAAGTCCTTCAATAATTTGATTGCTACTCATGTCGTTCGTTTTTATTCGAGAAAATTCCATCGGACTTTGTATATAATTATGACAATTTGTTACCATTGCTTACACTTCTTTGAATCTACCTTTTGACTATCCGAGATAACCATGGTTTAGCAGATTAGTATTGATCCTGGGTATGGATTGCAGGGGAAATGGAAAGCTAGATCATCTCCAGATTCAAACCAGGGATCATTGGGTTTCTAGCCCACTGCTCTACCAACTAAGCTATGAGGTCCGACGACTACTGACGAGATTTTTATTTCACTTTAATCACCAAGGCTTTTTTACTCGACTACCGTACAAATTCTTTTTTTGAACTTACCGTTATAATTGACCTTTACTATATGACTATTTTTGTCCATCTTAACCACTGACCGATGTTCTGTTTTCTTTCAGTGAATTAAAGTATACTAAATTTTCGCTATATAACTATATTTTGATATTCTAGATTGTAAGTCGTTGACAAGATACCGCTGTTTTCTCCTGTTTCCATTTTCACATTCGAATTTACATCAACCTTTTTCAGTCCGAACACTTAACAATACCCTCTTATATATACTTAAACAGAAGTCAGTAGAAAACAGTGAGCTAATTATTTTTTTGTTATGCTTTATCCACTATCAAAATATGCCTGAAAGGGGGAAAGGCAGTCTTCTTCAGATGTGTAACGCGTGACTTATTAAGCTCAGTACAATTTGCTTTCTTCTGAAAAGTCATTCAATATTTTGTATAAATTGCAACCAAACTACTCGATTTGAGTAAGAGACATGCGAAGATAGCTGAAGCATTAGCAATTTGAAACATCAGACCATCATTCTGTGGTCAAACGAAGCACGTACAACCTCCTTCTTTGACACGATTATCCTTCAAAATCAATCACTCTAGATTATTCCTTCATGATGTAACCACTATTATTTTGTAATTCTATTGTTCATTTCTCCATTACGTAACTATCCTTTGTCATGCAATTCATATTGACCTTTGACCGGAGATTATTCTAGACTGTTTTACATTTTTCTACTAAATATTCATGAATGTACAGCTAGGAGAACGATTTCGTCGAAAAGAAAGATTTTCATTCACTGTAATCGTCTTTTCTATCTTTTCCTATGATCAAAAGGTTTCTTTTGATACTCAAGGATAATAAATTTACTTAATAGTAGCTGGAAAATATGTTTCCATTATCATTTTTACATTAGCAGTTTTTACACAACGAATACTGAGAGAAACCGATAAAAATCTTGATAATTTTAATTGAAGAACTTCCAATAAAGTCTGATGAGTATCTTGAAGTCTGTTGTTAAGGCCTTAAGATTTTGTTTGAGGATATCATTGACGTCAATCAAGTCAAAATGTGATAATGGAGTGATCAGTTTAATTGAGAAAATCGAGAGTGAGAAATTCCTGTTGAAACAAAAAGAATCATCTGTTAGCTATTACCGTAACTCAAAAGTTATATGTTTTTTATCGATCCACGGAGAGAAGTGCAGGCGATGAAATTAGATGAGCCTAAATTTACTAACACTTGTGTTCAGTCCTTCTAGAATTCTTTTTTTTGAGATCGACGATATGAAAAATTAGATTTTTTCTTCCTTTTGCCGAATGGATTATTTATGACTCAAAGAATTGAACTACTACTAAGTTTTTGGAGAATGTGTTCGAATGATTTAAATCTCACAATAGTCTAAATTATAATATCTACAGGGAACAAGACTTTAGTTTTGAGTTTACAATCAAGAACTTTGAAAAGATGCCCAATGGATGCGATATAGAAAAGTAATATTGATTCATGCTTATTAGTTAAACCATACCTTTCAATAAATGGAATGTGATCAGCGGTTAGTTATCATACATCAATCACTTTGTGTATAGGAATGTAGTCTTTGACTTTCACTGATGCCTGTAAATACACGAATTCAGGTGGATATTCCACGTGACTACACACGAGGTCAAGCTATTTCACTAATTTGAAAATTAGAAGGTTGAATTGTTTCTTGTAGTTAGGCATATCATGAGTACTTCAGTAGCTCTAGTATCAGAAAAGTATGACTAAAGCATGATTTAGTCAACACGAGGGAAAAATTGAAAATATAGATAGATGAGCATTCAAAGTTCTGGATCATGACGACATTATGAAAAATGAAAATAAATGATATTTATTCACTAGTGAAATAAGCAGTATTATATAACAGTATAAAAGTTTAGAGGATAGTTGACAGAAACAATATAAATAGAATACTCAGAAAACGATTTATCGATGTTTCAGCTTACAATTCATAAAACGTTTCAAACTGAATGAAATTCAGTTATTATTTCTTCAAAATACAGAAAACTGTGCTTTCATTTACTCAGGTATACCTCTATTCTAATTCAAATTCTGTTATTGTTAGGACGAATAGGAAGATAGCTGATTGGTCAATATTATTCATATTCTATGTGGTTTGAATATTCGTCCCCAACCTTGACTAAAGGTAGTGTCATTCGTATTTCATTATCCCATTAGTGACCTTGGTCGAAGGCTGCGGTATTTCCTTGCCGTGCTTCGTGAGTTCGTTGCAAATAAAGTCTACTGTCTCCATTAAAGGAACATTAGTAAGAAGAGATGAAACGTCACACGAAATCACTAACTTATTATCTACTTTCAGATCCTCAATCTTTCTGACAAATTCAAAAGTATCTTTGAGACTATACTTCACAACTTCTTTGTGGAGAGGCTTCAAAAGTTGTACCAACCATTTTGCTGTTGTATGATACGGAGAGTTAGTCGTGTCAAGAACTGGTCGTAGAGGCAGACCGTTTTATGCTTTACTTCTGAGGTTACGTAGGAGACCAGTAACATACATCCATTCATTAACACTGTTTCTTAATAAAATTATTAGTGGGAGTGGTTTTTTTGGGCATAATAAATGATTAAGAACGCATCACCAAGTGAAGGAACATTTAGTCGTGAAAATACAACTCAATGGCACTAGTGAATGAAACTGAGTAACTGAATAATGAGGTAATGATGTAAATTATTTTCTGGTGAAAAATTTATAGCCGAAACTAGCTGAAGACGTCTACAACAGTTTAAACATATCTGTTGCTCAAACTCAACAAAAATTATCTGACTAAATAAATTTCTGAATAATTTTAGTATTCTCTGCAATAACAGAATAAAGGCTTCAGTCAAGTATAAATTGACGGAAGTCGGAAACAAAAGTAGAAGAATTAAACTTGGACCCAGAAGCTGAATAGTTTATGCTTTCGCTGTGAAATCTGAAGGTACTGAGTTCGACCCCTGGTAGGAGGTTGTCAGTGCCGAAGAGTCTCATTCTAAGATGAAACGACTGTCAAGTGTTTCTAGGTTTTTAATAATTGTTCAATAGTACCTTAAAAATAAAATTCTCATTAATCTCATGATATAAATACTTTTATAATCTGATTACTGTAATTTAAGCAAATTGAATGTTGTGAAAAGGATAACTACTGCTTTGTTGCACGATTGAATGAGCCACATTTAGCTAGAATAACTTACAAACAGTAAGAATAACTAATTGGTAACTAAAAACTAACTAATTTCACATTATTGAGTTCTAGGTGTTGACTAGATTCTACCGATCACTTGACAGTGTTGTTAACAAGTTAAAAAACTCAGTTTTTTGGTGCAATTTTCATTGTTATTAAAGCGGTTAAAGGCAGTTAGTAGGAATCCTTATATATATATATATATATATATATATATATATATATATATATATATATATGTTTCCTGCTAGTCGATATCTGTCAGAAAAGGTAAATTTGCAACTTCTTGCGAAACAGTATCTTTCAAGAGATTTGAACTGTGGAACTGGATGAAATGAGGTTGGATATCGGACAGGAAATCACTAGCTAGGCGTCGCAGATATACCTTACTGATAAGTGTCAACAAGTACAGAACCAAGGTCAAGTGATTTCTAGCAATCGTCTTCAACGACTTACTACAAAGTGATGAGACTAGAATGTGTACCATATTAGCTGTAACCATAAGACATGATGCTCCTCATAACCAGAATAGGTATTACATATCAGCACCGAATGAGACTGCAGAAGAGATAACCTATTACATTTGGAAGAGATTATCATCATGACGCTGAATTAGTTTCATCAGTTGTATAATAAGTAGTGAGTGTTTAAATGATCACTGATTTCCTATGAACATGTCACATTTTGTTTATGACTTAGAAAAAGGCACCTCCGGTGTCTTACTCAAACATATCTGATAGTGGAGTAGTGTGGGTATGTACTGCTAAGGAGTTCCAAACTACGACGAAACAGTTGTTCAGTGCTCCTAGGTTTTCAATGGTTTTCTAACCAATGCCAGCCTATAACGAATACTAACTTAGAAGTAAAATCTCCATGATCCTCAAACTCTATTACTGTGTAGCGTTCATTAGTGACATACCTCGGGATGAATATATTGAAGTTCTAATAAAAAGCCATGACCTGTGAGGTCAACGAGTCGTAAATAAAGCGGATGTCAACTGAAGGTCATGGTGGATAGTCAAATTATATAGCACGGATAGACAGAAGAATTAACGTGTGGACCACTGAACTCAACGTGTTCACTGCGCGATCCAAAAGTCCAGAGTTCGACTCTTACTGGGGTCATGGATGCATACTGCTGAGGAGTCCGACACTAGGATAAAATAGATGTCTAGAGCTTCCATTTTTTCAATGAATCCTCGGCTGATATTAGTCTTTGATGAATACTACCTTAGAGTGGGTAAAATTCCTTTAAACCTCAAGCTAAATATTTTAACACGAATAGATTAAGAAGTATGTTTTATTCTAACCCACTGACTGGATATCTTGTTAGCATTAGATTTAATATAAACTCTATTATATGTCTAAAACCCTTATTACTGACAAATGAACATAAACTTTTCCTGGAAAAATGCGTTTACATCACTTTTATTGGTTTTAACTGAAGTTCCAAAGATACTATATGGTATGAAGAATGAAAACGTAATATCTTGAGAATAGAGAAATATCACTCTCAACTACTCCCTTGAAAGAAAATAAAGAGAAAGAAACTGAAAGTAAAACAAAGAGTATATGGCATCCAATTATATAGAAGAGAGTGAAAACATTAAATTTTTCAATAAAACTCACTTTTCCATCCTGGTCTACAATCAACAAGTATCTGATCAATTGTTATACCAACTGAAGCTCTATGAGGTACTGGACGTGTACAGTCTTCAGCAATAACTTGAAGTGAATAAGGTCTTTGTGCAAGAGATGAAAGTGTTTCACGTACACGTATAACTCCTAGAAATATAATATTAAAAGAAAAGATAATTATAAAGCAATATTGTTTATAATGACATGACATATACACTTATTCTTCAGTAGATATGTAGGTGTTTCCTTTTCAAGTTATCTATTCCATGTATGGAATAAAATGAGTCTTCTCCAGATAAATAAGTTGTTCAAATAAAAAAGTATTGATTGATGGACATGTTCAACAGCTGACACTTTTCACTTGAAGGTTATATCTGTCAATAGTAACTTCTGTGCTAGGACGAGTTTGCCTTAACTTGAATTAATTTCGGAATCATTATTATTATCGTTAGGTATACCACTAACCAAAGGTATTGCTACATAAGCAAGGATGAGAGATATAGAAATGAAATGAACGACGACTTTTATTATTTTCAATCCTGCGATAACCAATATATCGAACTAAGCGAATGTGCTACCAATACGGCGATGATCACTGAGTAATGTAGCTGATGAAACCATAAAATAGTAAAACTTGACCATTTCAGTTAACTATAATTCCATTTTAGTTAACTTATTAAACATATCACATAGTGAAATAGCATTATTTAGTAAATAGGGTTTTCAGTAGAACTTATCGACCGTAGCAGTGACAAGGTAACTTACCAACCTTGAGGCATGCTATATACTTGTGATCTAGGCAATAAGATTTTTCAAACATCTTGAACAGGTACACAATTATCTGTAACACATTTATTTACTGTTGATTCGATAAACAAAGATTCGGTTCAAAATGGCGACCACCGGGTTTCTGGACCGGTGTTCTACTGAGATACGAAGCCTGACTGTTGGCCAGGTTTTTATTTCACTTCAATCATCAAGCATTTTGCTCGACTACCATGTGAATTCATGATGCGTTACTACCGCTTGATTAAACTGATTCAGGCTGTATAGAATTCACATGGCTGTCGGGTGAAACCCTCGGTGATTGAAGTGAAATAAAAATCTGGACAACAGTCCGACCTTCTAGCAAATATATGATTACCAATATCTCCTTCCATCCAACTAAGTTCTGAATACTGTTTCATCTTACGGTGTGATTGTGTGTAAACGTATGCATTAACCATGGTAATTGAGTTTTTCTTTCTATTTTCTTCCTGATTAAGGCCCATCAAACTTCATTTAGCTAGGATTTTGTACTCAGACAGCCTAACTGATGCTGGCCAATCCTTTTGACCTATGTATGTAGCTTCATAATGTTTGCAGGAGATTTGTAAACTAAATTATTTAGACTAATTGTATCAATAGTTTCTTTCAACCTACAAGGCTTGTTTTTACGTGAGTGTTACCTTAATTTAAGCCTCATTGAGAATCTAAAGCTGCATTTTTGAGAAGGATGCCGATAGAATTACAACCGTTGTAGATTTATTCTGACATGACGATCGACAGTAAATTGTAGCTGAAATGCAGTCCAGTAAATAATACTGTTGCGAAGCTTGATACACGTAATAAACCAAATCATGGGACTTGATCTCACAAGTTATTGAATGAGAGTCAGAATCTATGCAAAAATTTTATATTTTTCATGAATTATTAAAGGGAAGAAGTATGGTAGATTATATGTCATGATGTCAAATTGTCTGTCACTTTGACATTCTATTCCCGCCAGCATGTTTTACTAAAGATATCTTCTAATTTTTCTTAACTCTTAGAGATGTGACAGTGATTGCGTTACAAGATAAAAATTGGCTGATTATGAAAAAGGTATCCTGACAGTACGCATTTCTTCAAGCTAATTCCTCGTAGTTATCTTTCTTACACACAACAAAATATCTACAGTCAGAAGACGAAAAGGATTCAATATTTATAAAACACTGGGAATTTAGTTCCCCAGCGGTGAACAACAGAACGACACCATATTTCTTAGCAAGTAAACACTAAAAAAAAATACAGATATCCCCCTGACTTCTTGTAAACGATTCAGTATTCTTGTCAGCTGACCTATTACCAACCTAAAAGACTCACTACGTTATGCAGAAGCAGCAGAGAGAACCCATCGAATGAAATCTAACTTGTTTGTACTATAGGAGTTTGTAGTTCAGCTTGCATTGCCTTGTCGAATTGTTTTTTTCAGCAGATTTATTTATTAATTTTATTCTTTCACCTTATTGTCGTATATATTGTTCTCAAATATTATTCATATTCACAGTATTTTAGACTTATTTTAACCCATTATATTCATTTCAATGTATTTTGAGGTGGATGTGGGTGTATCTGCTGAGGAGTCCCATACTAAGACGAAACAGCCGTTCAGTGCTCCCAGGTTTCCTTTGTTCCTCCAACTGATGTTAGTCTATGATGAATAAAAACTTGAAATATTTCCAAATCCCCACAACTCCCTCAAAATTGAACATCATCTTTGTTGTTCTCCTCCCTTTTATAAGAAGTCTTAACCCTTCTAGCTACAATCATACGCCTGCACTGCTATTATGTTGTATTGTTTTCTTTGTGTTCCCAGACAGATTTTACTGTCCGATCTGCTGTCATTTGTTTGATCGTGAACTCTGTCATTCGTCTCCTTATCTGTCTAGATGTAGAGGGTGTATTTAGTGTTGATTTTACTATTGAAATGGAACGAAAGGTAGCTTACTGTAAACAATTTTAAATTTAGAGTACACGAAATCAATTCGGGTCATCCTACAAATGTTTGTTCTTGAGACTATGGGGAATATTTGTAGCTCAGGAGGAGGGTTTTCATGGTACTTTGTTCTCTTAGCTGGTTGCTTTAATCATTAAACTTTCTTTGTCATCTTAGATAACATCATCAGCACAGACCTTTCTCCAAAATTTATTTAGCAGCTTGTCCTGGTGGCCTTGTGTTTGATTAGTTGTTTCTACCTAGGTCTTGTCATTGTCTCTACCTTCATTTTGACTGGGTGTCCTGATGACCTAGAATCCGACCTTATTGTTGTTTCTTATTGGTTGGTAGATCAGGTCAATGTCAATGAGCTTGTCGATCGCTGACATACTTGAATACCAAGCTTCTAAAAATTCTTTGACATTCTTTGTCATTCCCCCTTCCAAGATTTCCACATTTTCTCAGACAAATTCATGTCCACAGTTGTCCGTATGCATTGATATGAGCTATGATATATCATGATGCTTCGCTGCTAAATGATGTTCCTGTAGACGGATACAAAAAGAGAGGACCAACATTCCATCTGATCCAGTGTTTTTTGCAGTTTCTTCAGTTTATTTTGTAGATAATATTTGGTTTGCCTTCCTTTGTTACTGTTTCTTTTTACCTGAATATCACAGAGTGAAGGGATTTTATGGGCTTGTTAGATATAGCGGTTCCAAAAGGCTGCAGTAATCTAGTCTTGATCTCGGAGACGTTATTGTTGTTCTTACTTTGCAAGCATGTACGCCCCTTTTCAATTCAACCGATGTATTTACATAGATTTTGTGTTGATCAAATGGTAACTAACCGCATTTCTTTGATATAAGACTTTTTAAATACCTCATTACACATCCTAAAATACAAGTATCCATTTTGTCAGGGAAGTGTATCAGTTAGTGAAAGTCAATATAATTACAATTTTTTCCAATGAATACGATTACTTTTCATTCGTATGTTAAATACTAGTGACCTTCGTACAACGACGTCTCTCTTATGTGCATGTATATTCACACACTAATAGAATCCTAATGTATCAAAATAGTTTAGACAGAAGAAACAACTGAAAGACAACAGACATTAAATGCTTGAATACACAATAAAACAAAGTCTGGAGAAAGAACCAAAAATTGTCTATCTCTTCTTCTATGCATATATACCTACATAAAAAATGATATATTTTTAGTGTAAATAGAGAAAGATAATGACTCTAAAGGCCGCCCTAGAAAATACTGAAACGGCTAATTAAATCCCTATATTTTATTTGGAAAGTTTGTTAACTGGCAAAATCAAGAAATCTATGTTCATCTCGGTGATTAGCAGTGGAATCCAGGGTGCGTGTTGCATCCTATTTGGGACTCATCAGCTGGATGTATCCGCACTCAAGTGAGTTCAAGTTCACATACTAGTCACCAAGATGAATATAACATCATGGATATCTAACACTGTTGAGGCATCCGTATAGGAGACTTGCAACTGTATAGCAAAGGGAAATCTAGTTGACTGTTTCAGTAGCTCAAGCGGTTTGTAATATCCCTTTGCATAAAATTTCATTGCTAGACGACTGCTATGAGAAATGTCAAGCTTTGAAGTTTGTTCTTTGATGTTTCAGCAACAGGCTAGGTGACTTTACCAGGATTTATTTCAAAATATGAATTTTGGGAAGGTTATTTACTGACTTTGAGTGTTATTAGCCTGTGGATAGGGAATCATCTCCTCATTTTGCCGTTGACATAATATCTGATTATTGATTTGTATGAGTGATTTCTAGTTAGCTGATTCCATCTTAGTAGTCCACGTATCTGTTGATTGTCGTTTGATTGGCGCACTTTGTTTTCAGAAACTCTCTTACAGTCCTTGAGCTTACCTGTTGCAGTGTTTCCATGCTGTTCCTATCAAAGTTGTGGTTACATTATATAAATGATGATATTTCATGTCACGACTGCTAATTGATACTCATAAATCCATTGGACTATTCAGTGACTGGACTGTTCAATATGATGACGCTGACAGTTTTGGCAACCAGTTTTGTAAATTATATTCCGCTTAATTTGTTTCAGTAATGGATCGTTTAGCCTGTGCCTATATAAAATGTTCTGCAACGATTTGATTTGTCTGTAACTCTGCTACCAAACTGCTGAAGTAATTGGGTGAATATTTCTGATATACTGTAAGGTGATTCCCTTTAAAGGTTGAGGTTATGGACTTGATGTGTGTTCTGTTGATAGACTTTACTTGACAAAATTGACTGAACAATTATTGACCTGGAATACTTTTAAAGAAGATTTTCTCCCTTGACTTACTTACTTGTTGAGTGCTGCAATGAATCTTGTTATGTGTGAATGATACCTACACATAACTCTCTCTATGA